CTTCTGATACGCTACTCTCCTCATAAACCCTTGGCATACGGTGCTGACAAAAGCCGGGATTGTTTTCGTCACGTGATCACGCTTCTTACCAGGTACGCACAGATTGCGTCATCGACAGAAATAAAAAGCGTATTTAAAAATATAATGTTTTTTAAAGAATAATTAACAAGAAGGTATTGAGTTATGTTGATTTGTTATTAAACAAGTTCAAATGCAAATTTACATCTTCAGTATAGATTCTTAATCACATATTTTGCACGTAGCTTAAGATATTGGATGACTCATAGAATGGCATGTTATCTTACGGATCGTTGTTTACTTGCGTTTTTCATTCCCGATATTAAAGAGTCAAGATATATCCCGAACGCAAATATCGTCATTTACAAAAAACAATTGCTGATTGGTCGAATGATGTCGACCAACTCCAATCACAGCTTGAGAAAAAAATCCCAACTTTTTTTAACACCGTATGCCAAGGGCTTATGAGGAGAGTAGCGTATCAGAAACCCTTGGCTAGCGAAGATGCTCAGCAATTAGCAATTAGTCTCACTGTACAAGGCATTTTTTTTCCTGTTGATGAGAATTACATGTACAAGCATTTTGCAGACACAGACTTGTTTTGAAGTGAATCATCTCTCTATTCTCCATTGTTAAGGAAATCTTTGGCCCAGTGTTGACTGTGTTTCCATATCCTGATGATGAATACCTGAAGTATGCACAGCTGGCTACCAAGACCTCTCCATTTGCTCTGACTGGAGCTATTTTTGTGAAGGACCCGTAAGTACTTGTTAAAGCTTATAGAACATGTGTCTTTATTAGGCCTAAGAAAAAAATATGTTTGTTTATTATTACATGCATATAAAAAAAAATATGGTCAGTAGGTAAGAATTTGTTTTTATTTTGCATATTCGATATTTTACAACCAAAAAAAAAAAGAAAATTTGGGTTGGCACATAAATTAGGTTTGGTTGGATAACCGTAAACAGACATACATTTTTTCTTAGGCCTTACAGTCAGTTTGCATGGTGAATGTATTAACATCCATTTGTAGCTGTTTAGTTGTGTAAGAAAAAATGGAAGATTTATATATACTTGACCATGTATGTAGCTTCTTGAAATTACAGTTAATATGTCCCTTCTTTCCTCTTTCCAATTTAGACTTGGTCAAAATTATATCATTTGCAAAATATATACTGAGAATGAAGGGAGAACACACTTCAGTAAAATATTTTAAAATGTCATTTTATTATTAATACTTCTTTATTACACAGTAAAGTAAGGGAGGAGTTAGTGGATACCTTCCAAGATGTGGCAGGAAACTTTTACATCAATGACAAATCAACAGGATCTGTTGTGGGCCAGCAACCATTCGGGGGAGATCGATTGTCAGGTTGGTAAAATATTCAGCTTTACAAAACATTAAACAGTAATTTTGTTCCTGTGTCTTTTCACAATTTTAATCTTTATCATAACTGTGAGAGTGTAAGACAGAGACTTCATATGAATTGTGAGCATGCTTAAAGGAAAAACAGAACTGGTTACTACATGTATAAGCATTAAATTCTACCTCATACAATGTGTTTCATGTGTAACAGCACAGAGATTCAGCTGACTGCTCTGGCTGTCAGCAGATGAAGAAGTTTGTAACATCAAGTTTTATTTATTTGACAGGAACCAATGACAAAGCAGGTGGCCCCTATTATCTGACGAGGTTCGTGTCTATGCAGTGTGTGAAAGAATCAAAGGTGCCCCTTACAGAATGGGTGTTGCCCTCCATGAAGTAAACACTAAACCATCCTCAGAGACTCTCTAGAGTTTCAAAAGATATGTAGTATAGTGTATTAGTGATCAGTGCAAAATAAAACAATTTACCCGGTATATAAACACATATCAAGAGGTGTATAATTCATTACTCCTTCAAATTCCTATTTACATTTATGTTATGATTTTATTGGGGTATTATTATCTGCTGCATGTGAGACAACAAGTCCAAGATCAATTGATGTGCAAAGCATGTGAATTTGAAATGATCTGAAAAATGTGACTGTACAACTATAAAAAGAGGTATTAGCATAAGAATCTCAAAAAAAAAAAAAAAATTAAAAAAAATTACAAACCAGTACAAAACAAACTGCTTGATACTCGTTGTGTCAATTTTTTATTGACACTTTTGTTGATATTCTTTGTTGTTTGTTAAAACCCACATATAATGTTGGGATTTTTTTTTTTTTACCTGATTAGTAATTTTAAAAATGTGTGTTTTATGCATTAACACATGAGTGGCATTTGCTCAAGAAAGATTTATTTTTTTATATTTTGGATTTGTTTTTAGCTCACCTGAGCTGAAAGCTCAAGTGAGCTTTTCTGATCACCCATTGTCCGTCGTCTGTCCGTCCGTCCATCCATCTGTCCGTCCGTCTGTAAACTTTTCACATTTTCAAATTCTTCTCAAGAACCACTGGGCCAATTTTAACCAAATTTGGTACAAAGCATCCTTGAGTGAAGGGGAATTTAAATTGTTAAAATAAAGGGCCAAACCCCCTTACAAGGGGAGATAATCAAGAAAAGACAAAAATAGGGTGGGGTCATTAAAAAATCTTCTTCTCAAGAACCACTGAGCCAGAAAAGCTGAAACTTATGTGGATGCATTCTGGGGTAGTGTAGATTCTAAATTTTCAAAATCATGACCCCCGGGGGAAGGGCGGGGCCACAATAGGGAATCCAAGTTTTACATTGAAATATATAGAAAAAAAATCTTTAAAAATCTTCTTCTCAAGAACCACTGGGCCAGAAATGCTGAAACTTATGTGAAAGCATGCTGGGGTAGTGTAAATTCTAAATTGTAAAAATCATGACCCCTGGGGGAAGGGAGGGGCCACAATAGGGAATCCAAGTTTTACATTAAAATACATAGAAAAAAATCTTTAAAAATCTTCTTCTCAAGAACCATTGGGCCAGAAAAACTGAAACTTATGTGGAAGCATCCTTGGGTAGTGTAGATTCTAAATTGTTAAAATCATGACCCCCGGAGGAGGGGTGGGGCCACAGTAGTAAAACCAAGTTTTACGTTGAAATACTAAGAAAAATCTTTAAAAATCTTCTTCTCAAGAACCACTGGGCCAGAAATGCTGAAACTTATGTGGAAGCATGCTGGGGTAGGGTAGATTCTAAATTGTTCAAATCATGACCCCTGGGGGAAGGGCAGGGCCACAATAAGGAATCCAAGTTTTGCATTGAAATATATAGAAAAAATCTTTAAAAATCTTCTTCTCAAGAACCACTGGGCCAGAAAAACTGAAACTTATGTTGAAGCATCCTTGGGTAGTGTAGATTCTAAATTGTTCAAATCATGACCCCTGGGGGCAGGGCGTGGCCACAATAGGGAATCCAATTTTTATATTGAAATATATAGAAAAAAAATCTTCTTCTCAATAACCACTTGGTCAGAAAAGCTAAGACTTTTGTAGAAGCATCCTTGGGCAGTGTAAATTCTTAAAACTATTCAAATCTTGACCCCTTGGGGTAGGGTGGGGCCACAATAGGGAATCCAAGTTTTACATTGAAATATATAGGAAAAATCTTTGAAAAATTTCTCCTCAAGAACCTCTTGGCCAGTAAAGCTGAAACTTATATGGAAACATATTGGGGTAGTGTAGATTTTAAATTGTTAAAATCATGACCCCCGTGGGTAGGGCGGGGCCACAATAGGTATTACAAAAAGATCATTTCGTGAAGAACAGCAGGGCCAAAGTTATTCAGGTGAGCGTTGTGGCCCATGGGCCTCTTGTTCTGTAGAATATTGTTGGCTTTTGAAATAGTGCTAAATAAGAATTTTTGGAGGTATAAACTATAGAAAAAAGTAAATTCTTAATGTCCTCATTCTACTTTAAAACAGGTGTGACATTTAGCTGTATAGTTATTGTAATTTATTGGAATTTTTCATTACTTTCAGCTCTCAGATACATGAATATGAATTTTCATGTCAGAATACATCTTTTGAAAATTAAGTTTAAAACTTCATACCATGAAAGAGTATGTGCATTATACAGAATTCTGCAATTTACTCTTTGTAAAATCAAATAATAAAATAAAATGCTTGAAACATTTTCGATATTGAACAAAGTTTGCATAATACTTACTCTGTATTTAGATTTTGTTAGTTGATATTGTCATGAACAAGTTTTCCTTTGAATTGTTGGAATTTTGACATCTCTATTGTATGCTAAATGAGGGTGATATTTATCCCTTTCTTATTTCTGAACTATATTAATTTTGTTTAAGTGAATGTTGACCTGCTTTTGATGGTTGCCAGAGTTTCTCATGGATTAACATTGCCTCTTTTGCTGCATTTTGTTGTTTTGTTTTCATGTTCAACATCTATATTAGATGAAAATATTGTAGATTCGACAGTGAGAATTATACTGTTGCAAGTTTTAATTTTATAGCAATAAATATTAATTTTAGTATTTATGAGATTATGTTCCATTTTTTGTCTTTTTTTTTTAAATATTTCATGTGCTTCCAGCATCACCTGTTGTAGAATCACATTTACAGGAAATGTGTATATGTTGAATATTGTTTTTCCTTTCTATTAGCTAAGGAAAATTCTTGAAGGAGGATTGTTTGGATTGAATTGGCAAAAATACTACACCTTTTAGAAAGATTAACACCAAATTGAATTTTAAATGTTAATGTGATAATTTTATTAAAATGGTATAATTGTATTAAAAAAAAATCTTGTATATCTTGAAAAGTTACTTTGATGATGTATCAGATAATAAAATGACAAATGAAATCTGAGTTACAGTATATACAACATTCCTTGATGTATTACATGCATATTTATATACATTGTAGTATGCTAATTAAATGTACTGGTAAATGTTTCTGGCTATCCAATCACATCAGCAGGAAGATCTGAAATATACAATTATGATATTATACAATGTTATATGAATATACACACAAATTCTCTGAATTATTCATTATAAAAAAAAATTCAATTTTTCTCACATAACAGTAATACCTGATTGAAATGTGTATATAGCTGGGCAGTTTATGGTTCCTTGACAGCAGAAGTTACAGGTGTAATTTCTAGAACTAGGAACAGACCTCTGGGTAATGTTGCATTCTCTATCATTCATCATTTCTAATTTTAAACATGCCTGAAAGATATTAAATATATTCTTTTAAAGATGCTGATGAATGTAAATTTGATGAACAACATTGTTAACGCAACCAATTTACAGAGTGTTTGATTTTAATTAATATGGTTAAAACATGTCCATTTTATTTTACACTTGCCCACATATTATCTGTACAGCCAGCAGTTATTGTCCCTGATTGCAGATTTAGGCTACATCCCTGCAATAATTAAGAAACACACAGTCTGTATTGGTTTCTTTATTGAATATAATTTGTTCGGGAACCAGATTATAAAACCTATATAATCATTCACTGACTGTTCAAAATTTGACAAATATTTTAGTTTCAAGAAGACTACCTCATCCATTGATCCACATTTTGTGACATTTTCTAAGCAAACTGTTAGGTTTTTCTCATTGCTACAGGTTGGGCATCCATCTGTAGAGTACACAAACTGCATATATATATCATTTTCATTTTGCTGCTATCATGTTAAGTTAGATAACACTGCAGTAAACAGTGTGATAAAATAATTTACCAGATCTAAACTGGGAGAATATTAAAAGCTTTTTAGGGTTATGGAGTTGAAATATTTTGCTTTGCATTTTATTACATTTTTGTCTTTAACAAGGGTTTATTTGGTTTTTTCCCCAGGGGGAAAAAAGGAACAAAATGTGATTGGGTTCTCACAGAACTTTTTTTTCATATAATCTTACTAACTTTACCAGAGATCATTGTTTCTCAGTTGGGTCTTAGGTCAATTTTTGAATATTTGTCCATTTAAATTCCAGAGGAGGGGGGGGGGGGCTTGATCAGCTTAAGTTTTTGCCAGTATTTTAAAAATACAATTTAAGAAATTGAAATGTGTAAGAAATTTTAATAATGCATGTAGAGAAATAATGTTATACTGTGAAATAATCAATTTTCGTGTGGAGGGGGGGGGGGGGGTAATTTTCGTTGTTTTCGTGGTATGAAAAGACCCATGAATTTATGTTCTCCACGATATGTAAAATTCAAATATGAAATAAATAACCTTTTTTCAACCACAGAATTAAATCCCCTTAAACATTTATTTTTCTTCAATAAACCATGAAAATTTAACCCCACGAAAATATGATTTTACAGTAAAAGGAGAGTTAAGTAAAGCAAAAATCATACATATGTAAATCGTTCCCAACAGATTTTTATACACAGGGTTTCTAAGAAACAGGGCGGGTTTTTCTTAATATATTTGAGAGATCACGAAATAAAAGACCGACAAAATGAATGAGAAAGACCTGTAACTGGAAATGTAGTTTTGACAATTTTTGTTGGAATTTTCATGGTAATCGTTGATGTCATAGATGCACGAGGGGTTGTCATAGGAACAGCTTGTGTTGTCATATTTGCTGATTGTGTCATTTTATTTCTACCTGAAAAAGGAAGATTCGTATTACATAAAAAAGCAACAGAACGGAAATCATGCACTGAAATTTCATTAATCGATATATCACTGTATATATTAAGTTACATACAAAATCCACAGTACTTTCTGCATGACGTCATGGCGAAGTCTCGCAGACTTGTTTCCGTACAGAGACTTGAGGGTAGACGAGTACAGTCTACAGTATCCTCACACAGTGGAGAATCTGTCAAAAATACCTTAAGAATTCTCTGTCTTTTTTTTGTACTCGACATTCGTGACTTTTTCCTCATCGAAGTTTTGCAAGTTACAATGTATTTCAAACTTTCAGAGCGAATATTCCTTTAACCATAATTATAAGATCACTTCCATAACTCAAATTAAAAATACCAATGGCAAGTGCACATATGTAGTGTAGTATAGGGTAACATACTTGAACAATATCCGCAAGTGTCCGCACAGTTTTTCATGGCCCATCTTTTGAACACCCCTACACAGGCATGAAGATGGTTCTGGCAATCACTCCGTACGTCTCGACAATCTGTGGAAATATTGTATCATATACATGTATCACTATGCAGCTGATTAGTTTATTATTATTTTAATAATTAAACCATGCATTATATGGCTTGCGAAGTCGATAGGTGTTACCTGCTCCCGTGGGCAACATCATCTGTGTCGTGGACGTCGTGGAGACAACAGCTTTGGTTGTAGCTGGTGCTGGTGTTGTACCAGTTTTTGTTGTGGTCGAGGGTATCTGGGTGGTTGTTGTTGTTTTTTGCGTAGTACTAGAAACTGCATAAACGTTAATGTAAAATTGTTTGTAGGAATGTGTTACAGTCATTTTTGTTATCACCAGTCGAGGGTGTTCGATCCGATTCGCTCAGATCATCCCCATGTCAGGCCGAAAACCGATTTCATATACTTTTAAAAATGATAATATATGAAGAACAATGACTTGTTGCATCCAATTATATAATCACTTAATTTTAACTAACGAGGGTAAAAGTTTCATTTGTACGCTCAGCTGTATGGTTTAAACAGGTGATATTCATTTGGACTTCAAGCCTTTGTGCTTAGAAGTAAATTATGAACTTACCAGTACAGTAGCCACAGAATTTACGGCAGTTTTCCCTCAGGAATCCCTGGAAGTTCCCGTTCCCACAAATCTCTTTTCCATAATCAACACAGTCGGGAACATTGTCGACACATGGAGGGGATTTTCCTAAATAGATAATCTAAAAATCTCATGTCTTCATTATGAATGAGAATTACATGTAATTGGAGACTTTAAAATAAAACCTACATTGATAATTTTTTGTTTTGTTATTCATACCTGGGCAGTACCCACATCTCAGAGGACAATGTAACCTGGCGAAGGGTTCATAAATCCCTGTACACTGAGAATCATCATAATACCAGCACTTTAACGTTGGATCATCCTGACAATCTAAAATCAGAATTTTATCACATTTAAAGTGAAATCAAGAAATACTTTCTCCTTTCCATGAATCGGCAATCATCATTTCTACTTTAATCAATGAAAGGCACAAGCGCTTTGAGATTAATGTTTCATTCCTAAAATACAAAAAGTTAAGAAAATAATTTTTTGAATACATGTAGTTCATTTATCCTTTTCATTAAAGTCATAAGATAGGCAACTTGAACTTTATGTTCTAGTGCAAAGCAGGATTTTAGCTTGGAGGACGGAAATAAATATACATGTATATTAACTTAATTACCATTTATCGGCATATTGTTGAGGAAATGAACATCAACTAACCATTTACCGGCACACTGTCGAGGAAATGACTATTAACTTACCGTTTACCGGCACACTGTCGAGGAAATGAATATCAACTTACCATTTACCGGCATGCTGTTGAGGAAATGAATATTAACTTGCCATTCATCGGCACACTGTCGACCATGGCCGTAAGAACCGGGGAGGCACGGGGGGCGTGCCCCCCAATAATTTTGCCGATATATAGATTACTATAGTAAACTTAGATACTATATGCTTGTGCCCCCTCAATAAAAACGTCTGATGACCTTTTTTTTTTTTTGCTTGTAAAGGAATTTTTGATAGTTGATGACCTTTTTTTTGCTTGTAAAGGAATTTTTGATAGTTGATGACCTTTCTTTTGCTTGTCGGGAAATTTTTCGTAGTGCCCCCTCAACTGAAAATGTATGGCTGTGCCCCCCCCCCCCCAACTGAAATTGCTTCCTACGGGCCTGAGTCGAGGAAATGAATATCATATTACCATTTACCGGCATGCTGTTGAAGAAATGAATATCATTTCACCATTTACCGGCACACTGTCGAGGAAATGACTATTAACTTACCATTCATCGGCACACTGTCGAGGAAATGAATATCATCTTACCATTTACCGGCATGCTGTTAGGGAAATGAATATCAACTTACCGTTTACCGGCATACTGTCGCGAGAAAAAGCACCAGAACATCGTAAAAAATAGATAAAAGTCAAGAAAACTGAAATGAACGTCATTCTGCGGATGGTCTGTTTAATTTTTTGGGACTTTACACTGATTTCTACAGAGTCTTTGACCTACACAGGTCAGATAAGGTGTTTGTTTCTCCCCGGACTGGACTTAGGGTATGTAAGGTGGGCTGGTATTGTTATCAAGTACACTGACCACATTGTTGCGAAGCTAAGCTAGTTGGTACCTCAGAAGTATTTCCTATTGGTCAATAAAGAATTTCCATCAACACTGTAATACACATCTAATTTCTTCTCTTCCATTAAGGATACATGCACTACAAGTATATACTCAATATTTTCTTTAAAGTGTTCACATTGCATTGTTCATGCAGTAGAGAATGAGCCTCCAACCCCTCCTTTACGTTCATTGTCACCTCGGATCGGGGCGAAATATTGCAATTGCTCCATCTATAATTTTTTCCACAAATATTTTACTCAGAAAGCTGGGACAACCTTAATAAAACTTTGAACAAAGAATTGATAATTATCAAGTTTAGGTACATGCTTTCAACATTCCATATATATTCACTGGCGACCATTACCATGGAAGCAGACTCGAACGAAATATGAAAACTTTTATTTTTTTATTCTCTCAGTAACTGTCCACCAATCGTTTTGAAACTTCAAAGGATTATTCTTTGCACCAAGTCATTCGTCTCAAACAAAAGTTGTTACAATGAAATACGTAATAAAATGAGATTATTACATTTTGCATTATTACAGTTAAAGTCGAGATCAACACAGAATATAATGACGCCAAATATATAAACATATTTATTACATTTTCAACAGTGAAATACTGTGATTTATTTATTGAATAAAAGTGATATTCTTTCACAGTGTGAAAGGATACCAAAATGATATTCTCTCACAGTGTGAAAGGATATCAAAGTAAGTAAAAAATAATTTCTGGCCTGTCATAAGGTAGAAATAGTAACTAAGCATCTTGATAGAGCTAAAACTGCAAATTTCTTCCCAAATATGTTGCTAAAATCCATGCTATGTAATGTTTTCAATCACACAACTGCTAAGCTATGACGTCTCAACCGCTCAACTATGACGTCAAGCCTATGGCACTGTGTTGAGAAAAGACTGAGGCAAAGTCAAAATCAAAGAAAATGTAATAAACAGAAAATTCAATGTTTTGTAGATGAATATGGAATTTATTTCACTCGTGAGACAGGATTTTTTGATATTTTCACTCGTGCTTCGCACTCGTGAAAATATCAAAAAATCCTGTCCCACTCGTGAAATAAATTCCATATTCATCTACAAAACAATGAATATCCTCTATATATAAACCATTTGGATTATTACATTTTGAATTATTACATTTTGCGTCGAGGTCAACGCTGCCGCAGAATGTAATAACGCAAAATGCAATTTTTTTGGATTATTGCATTTTGCGTTATTACACTTTGCGTCGAGGTTTAGGCAAATGAAATAACACACTCTATGGATTTAATATTATTTTATATTTTGAATTGATGACTTTTTAAAATCACATTTCCTGATGTTTCAAAAATCTGTCAATACTATATGGTATTTAAAAAAATATAAATATATGGATATTCACATTTTTTGTTCCTAACATTCCACATTTTATTAACGCAAATTGAAATAATTACTATGAAAAAACACCCCTCCAAATTCAGGGAAAAACCATTTTCTGAGGCACAACAAGTTAAAGACTTTACAATAAAATATTACAGCAAGGCTTTAACATAATCATGTAGCATGCGCGGATCTAGAGGGGGGTCGGGGGTTCGGACCTTGCCCCCCCCCCCCCCTGGAATTTGCAGAGTTATCAAAAGTATATACTGAAGCAAATAAAAAAAATGACTTTGGACCCCCCCCCCCCACCCACCCCCCCCCCCCCCTCCTAGAAAAACTACCATCGACACCACGAAAAAGGTGTTTTCAAGTTTGGGAAATGGATTTTATTATTATTATTATTATTATTATTTTATTTTTTTTGCTTGTCAAGAAATTTTCTGGATTTAATGCGTATTGGAAGGGATCCTTTTTTTTTGCTTGTCAAGAAACTATGGGGTTGAAAATTTTGTTTTCACTTCGGTGGACCTCCCCTGGAAAAAAATTCCTGGATCCGCGCCTGTGTAAGTTGTATATAAATATAAATTCTATTCGATTTATATAAAAAAAATACATTTATTTGTGGAGATAAAAAGCGGTCATAACATACTACTATATTGCATTCTGCGTTAAGTTCGACACAAAATTATTGTACTAAATAATCAAAAAAAAGTGTACGTGTTTTTTGTTTTGTTTTTTTTTTTGTTTTGTTTTGTTTTGTTTTTTTTTTTTGTTTTTTTTTTTTTTTACATTTGAGTTAAATTACGTCTTGCGATGACCTCGACGTATCATGATATAACACAAAATGTAATAATTTAAAAAGAATGTTATTACATGCACTTGGCTTTAAATTACATTTTGCGTTAATCTCGATGCAAAATGTAATAACGCAAAATGTATAATAATCTCAGTTTATAATATTTTGCGTCATTAAATATTACATTTTGCGATGAACTCGACGCATTGTGATTTAACAAAAAATGTAATAATCTAAAATATATGTTAGACTTTGTTTTCTTACATTCTACGTTGATCTCGACGCAAAGTGTAATAACACAAGATTTTAATCCCATTTTATAATATTTTTACATTTTGCGTTGTAACAAAGCGCGGTTCCAACGATGTAACTAGCCTAACAACTTATTTTTAAATTTCCACAGCCGAACCTGTTCCTGTAATATTTTTTTTAATCCAAAGCGCAATACTAACCTATGGGTTAAAAAGATGTATTATACGGAAACAAGTGCCTGCGTCAGTGTTAATTATTATTACATTGTGGGTTTAAAAAGTATTACAGGAACAAGTACCTGTGTTAATTTGTGCAAAAAAAGACAAACTTTGTTACTTTTATCTGGGAAACAAAAAAGGGGGATTTGAAAAACGAACGAAAAGAACCTCATTTATAAGTAAATTAAGTTTCTAAATAAGTATATCAAATTACATAATATTGACGTATATAATTGTCTCCTTACGTTTCTGTATAAAAATACTTAGGGTGAATTCACCATGCATCGGACACCCTCGCACTTCAGCAAGTTCTAGTGATATCGCTACCGACCGAAGATTATCAAAATTGAACTTAACATGTATTATATGGTTAAAATATAATTTTTGACACAATCGTGTGCTCTTTGTTGAGAAAATATCGTCAAAACCCGAGTTTTTCGAAATAAGTCAGAATTCACCATGGATCGGACAATATTCACCATGCATCGGACATACGGTATTTAAACCAGAAAAATATCACACCTTGGTCTCTGTGCTTTAAAATTAGTGATATCGAAACATTTTTATCTTTTATTAAAAACTTACACTTCTAGATAAATTTGAATGACTATTTCGGTCCACAAATGTGAAGAGATATTAGGTGCATCACATCGCCTTAGAAAGGCTCTACAATGCTAGTAATATGGCAACTCGCGCCTTTGTCTCGTGGGTTATCAACATCTAGTTTAAAGAAATAAATTGGGTCCACTTCTAGTCATCATATATCGATATCTTGTATTTTCACTTAAAATATAGAGTCTTTATTTTCTATTTCCGTAAAAAACAGTTGTCATTTGGGTTTAATATGAAAATGGAAGTGATTACCCATGCATCGGAAAGTGTCCGATGCATGGTTAATTTGTGTCCGATGTACGGTGAAACAAACATACTAGTAAAAACAACTCTAAAAATTATTTTACAAACATTGAAGTAAAATTTTTGAAAAATTTCTGTAAAATTATCAATCATTGACAAATTTTACCTAGGTCCGACTCGTTCCGTTGAAGTCTATTTAAAAGAGCGACAACTCTAAAAATTGCAACATTGGAAAATTCTGGTTACTCCCCTTTGATGATGCAAAATATGACGTAATTTCAAGGCCATTCTTGTGGTATTTTTATCACAACATGGAAATAAGAATCTACATCATGAAAAAGTTTAAATCTTCACCTTTAAGACAGAAACAAGTAAAAACACGAGGAGACTCAGGTTCAATGAAAGTTTATTGCTTAATGTTGTCCGAAGCAAGGTATGTGTCCGATGCATGGTAAACTCACCCTACTAGAATTTCTTTACAAATTCACACAGAGGAAATCTCTAAAACTAAATTAAACCTAAAATAATATCATATTTATCGGAATATAGGTGTGATAGACTACACAAATTTGTTCTCGGAAGGATGCATGTGTCTTTCAAAAAACTTATGAGTAATCATTTGGTCTTGATAATATTTATATCCATTGTAAATATAAATAAAAATAAAATATGTGTTTTCCATAGTTTGGATTTTCCCGGTTTTCTTTGGTTATTTTGGGATTTGAAACCGGAAGTGTTTACCATGACGTCACCATTAGCATAATGGAATCAATTGTCAGCCATTTTCTACGATAGAAGGCCACAACAAAAGTCGACTGAAGACAACAACGCGATACTTTCTCGTTTTTACGAGAGTTCAAATAATGAAGGCAATATGGGTTATAGGGGCAACCCTTATTTTAATGGATTTTATTTCTGGGATGTCAGGTGAGTTATAATCAAGGTAGATACTTAGACAGGTGTGAAGACCCCCGGCTAGCACTGACAGTGGCCTGTGTATTTACATGTGCATGTTACACCCGTGTATGACAACAAAGATTAATTTGTTTTAACAGATGAAATTTCGTGACATTAGATAAGTTAAAATGATACATATTTACAGAAGAAATTAATTAGATTTAGATCTATTTTGTTCGGAAATCTACTCAGTGCTCCATACAAATAAAAGGACCCACCTTAATAAGCATGATCAGTAGATTTTATTTATTTATTAATTTCTTTTTTGACTGAAATGCACTGTTACTGACAGCCCATTACATGATTTTTTTCCAGTAGTTATTTTGATCTTTAAAACAGTACTGATGAAGTTGAGAAAGCTGTCTGTTCTTATTTGTTTGAAATGATGTAAAAAAAAAAAAAATACTGCATCACAATTCATATCAAAAGACCCCACCAACTTCTTTTAGATAGAAATTAATTGGGGAGGTTGAATTTACCACCTGTAAACATGGTAAAAACAATGACATTCTATAATATGCCTTGAAATGATCGGTATGTCAAGGAGCATAGATAAATTTGGTTTAACTTTGATGTTTCATAGGTAAACTGTTTTAACTAAAGAATTTTGATTTAATTGATGTGGTAAATTGATAATTTTAATAAACTGTCTTGAAATTTCCATAAGCATGTCAAAAACAGGCAATACTTTAGAATATTTATGCATATTAAAATGAATTTATATCAATTATATCCTCTGAGGCTCAGCTAAGAAGCAAATTTCAAAAATAAATACATGTACATGCCTGGCATTTTTTCTAATTTAAAAAAAAAACAAAGTTAAGGGACATATAACTTTCAGAAATATAACAAATTATTGATTATTAAATTATCATGATTACTGAGTGTAAATCTGCAGAAAGAATTCTAAATATTGTGTAGTACTGTCTCTGAAAGAAAGTTGAATGTGAAAAAAAGGAAAAAATGTTTAATTAGCAAAAACTAATGTAGAATCTTCAATAAAAAATGGGTATTAAATCAGTTTTTCTAATTATTGTTTAATTATGAAGTTGGGACAAATCTTCCTTTCCTTTTTTCTCTAGTCTAGAATGTACAATTTGTTGGAAGGTACTTCTCCAATGTTAATCATTAACCTTTTCACTCTCAGACTGGGTCTGGTTAGTATCCAGGTAAATCCAAACTGACAGTAGATGATGTACACGTCCAGCTGCATCCCTATCAGACTTCAAAGGAGAGGAGGAACTTCATTAATATCCCTATTGTATGGCAATCATAAGAGCTGATTCTTATAGATTCCATGTGTTTTATGATGATTGGTTTAATATCTTGGGAATTTAGTGTTCAGGTGCTATATGTGCCTGTAATGTACTCTGTATGATTCTTTCTGAGTGCATCTGAGAATTCTTTTCCCCCTCTCTTTTGAGACAATTGATTATCTTTATAATTAAGAAATCAATATTTTATATTAATCATATTGTCATAGTTATATAATGAAATACTAGCTGCAATCTTTGATTTCATGTATTTGACAAAGGAAGTTGTATTGTTTGATTTATAGATAGATAAAGATTAATGATTCTCTTTGTCTTCTTGCTTTTTTGGAACATGATATTTATCCCCTGCACATACTGCTGGTTTTGTCTTTTTAAATATTATTTTTGTCTTGAATTTAAAAGACAAAAACTTTTATGCTAACATTTAAAATTTATAAATGACTAATTGAAAGATTAAATAGAAATGCACACCTCACACCTGCTGTAAATAAGATTAACATCTTAGAGAAGAAAAATCCTTTTGTTATTTTCATGGAAAATTTTATATTAAAAATTGTGATAATTCAATCAGGATGAGAAATTTCTACTACACCTTTATTCTGAGTCAGGTTTTGAAAATTAATGTGGGTGTAAAAACTGTGTTGTTGATTTTCTTGTTATACTGCTGGTTGCAGTCTTAGTCCACATGAAAGGCCCAGGGCCTTGGGGGAAGGGACAGACATGGTTTATGAATGAAAATGGCTCCCTGTCACACAGGTGTTTGACAGAGTTGCACTTTGTACTTGTTAGAGAGGAATGCCCGAAAGACTTTTTATTCTGTGATAAATACACAGATATAGTAATGCATGTAACACACTCATTTAACACTTGTTAAAACAGGAGTGACTGTCTTGTCAGATTTCAATTGAAAGTTATCACAATTTGTACAATTATATTTTTTTTTGTCATTTTCAAAGGTATAAATGCAGATACATCACCATGAGAACAGCAATCTTAATAAAGAAAAAAATAACTATTTATTGAGAAAATTTAATTTTAAATTACTTAAAAAATATTCTTTGATCTGAAAGTTTGTTTTCATATTCCATTGGTAAAAAAATGAACATAGCATGAACATTAAACATGATTAACTCTCCAAAATCTGTCTTCATTTGGAAGTAAATTTTGAATTTATTTTTTTAGTTGTCAAGGACAGCTGCAGTCTGCAGATTTAATGTTTTCAAGGAATTCTCTTGTTCAAATTTATCATTTTTGTTTTGTAGCTTTACAGAAAAGTTTAGAGATAACATTTAAATATTCCTTATATAAAAATTGCTTGATTTTTGAATTCTCTCCAATGCTATAATGGTTTTTCCTTTGCCTTAAAGCCCCCTAATGTGCTTTAATTTTTTTAATGGAGTGAAAAGCCAACTAATATTTTGAAGTAAACTTTTTTTTTTATTTACAAAACTGAAAGTTCAGATTTACACCATTCTTCGGATTGGAATTGAATTTCTTGATTATCAGCTTATCAGTTAACTTCAAACACAGGGGTCTAACTTACTGAAATAGATCTAGTGAGGGTTAGTTGAATGAAAATTTTAGTTGATCATATTGATACTAAAAATCTTAGGGGAGTGAATAATTTGGTAAATTTTACTCTATAAATAACCAGACACAAAATGACAGATTAATATTTTTTTTCTTCACTATACTGATAAGAATCATAGATTATAATAAGGAAATCTTTAATAATTTTTTTTTTCATACAAGTTGATCCAAATATAGCTTTTTTTTGGCTCAATCAGATCATGAAATATTGTTTATTTTCATATTAAAAGTCCAATATTTTTTTTCCTTTCAGAGACCAATGCACATGATCCAGTAATAAACTCAAAGTTGAAAAATGGCAGGGGATTTCCCGTTTTTCATGGGAACATTACAGAAGGAAGTCGGGTAGTTCAGCTTGACCAACCACTGAAAGCCACAGATGAGGACACTGTGGGTGGGGCAAGTAAGTGACAGACATCTCAGCCTTTCACAGATCATTAGAAATTCTATGTTTTGAAAATTTGAAACTCAGTAACATATATCATTTGTCATGTTTCAGTGCATGAATGAATTGCCAAAAAAAATCTCAAATGTGAAATATGGGCATATAAGTAAAACATTTTGTTTTGTTTTGTTTTTGTTTTTCTTGTTTTTCTTTGCATATCAATGGTATTTCAACCATGTTTATTGCCTGTGAACATACACTTATTACGACTTGATTTAACTTCAGACAAATACTTTTACTGTCATTAGTAAATGTCACTTGGGCTTTTATGCAGTGTAAACTAATGATCCCAATTTGGTGAGCCAAACTGAATTTGTTTTCTTCATGAATGTACCAGGAGAATAGTCCAATGAAGCAGTATTGATTTTAGGTTTTAGGAAACAAAAATTGTACTTATCTTGTAAAACTAGCAGATTTGGGTAGTCATAATGCTAGGTCAGTTTAGATACGTCTGATATTGTCTAACATGATTAATTGTGGCAGAAGTACCTATAAAAGGTTTATAAATCATGTGTTTATAAACCTACCAATGTTTTATAAAATAAAATATGGGATTGAAAGACCTACGTATCTGAAATGGATTATTAATTGTAGAAACAGTCCAAACATATCTTATAGCAACATTGTATTGATTAATTAAAAACCATATTGTTTATAATTTATTCACTTGTATAACATTGCTTAAATTTCTTTGAAGTGGTCTAGGACTTGGAGAACGTTGCATTTTAGATAGTAGACTAAATGACTCTCTTAGTTAATACATAATCTGTACACACAACTTGAACGATAAGATAAATGAGATGTGTTAAGAGTTGAATTAGTTCATTGTCATTATAAGCATGTCAGAATGATGTGATGTCCTTATATGTCGAAATTCTCAGAATTCCTCGAAATCAAAATCTGTGCCACTGTATTTAAATCAGATTATCAAGCAGTACGTAATGTATGATTCCTTCTTTAATGATTATTACCTGCTTGGTGCATATTTTTGTAAGGAATAAAGAACCCTATATTTTTAATTTAAATGCTGTCTGTGCATATTACCTATACTGTTGAAATACCGTACTACTTGTACATAATTACCGTATATACTCGCCTATAAGTCGGTTTTTTGGGAGTTAAACTTTGGTCCAAAACTCTTTATCCGACTTATACGCGAGTTATAAAAAGACTGGTATTTTAGCATGTCAATCCCTCTAATTTATACTTCAAATATACAACGGACTTATAGGCGGACCGACTTGTAGGCGAGTATATACGGTAATTTGAAGTCTACCATTCATGGATTTGTGAGCTTTAAAAGATGAATGTTTATTTTTGACAATATTTTTTTAATCATTTTTAAAAAAGAATATCAATCAACTGATATCAGGATTTATGAAATGAAAAATGGCTAATATGTCTAAATATCTTCAACTTTCAGGGTATATATGTGGATATAGACTTATCTCCCCTCGTAAAAACATTCCATTTACTGTGGAACTGTTGGACAGAACCACAGGAGAAGCCCAGTTGAAAGTGGCCGATGGCCGAAAGGTGTCATTTGAAAAGCGGAAACGGTACAAGTTCTCTGTGATAGCTTATGATTGCGGGCAACCAGCACGTGAATCAAACAGGTAATTTAAACACGTTAAAAAAGGAAAAGCCTGACAATGTTCATTAGACCTCCTGAAGATAAATTTCTTATTCTGTGTTGGGAACCTCCTGGTACCTAACAAACTTTAATGAAATTTCAGGTAGCAAACATAGAATAGTGTATAATATGTATAAGCATGCAAAACGCTGAGGTAAAAGAAGTGCATTTAAACTAAACTCTCAATACTTTGTACATGAGTGCACATTAGTGATCGATTATTTACATCAGGTAGGAGACCACATGATAGATATTTTGAAAACAAACTGGAATATATCTGTTTGGTACATAAATATTTAATCAGGGTCAGTTTTCAGTGGAGACATTGAATGACCAGCCAGGCACTGGTACTGTATAGATCTCATTGATTAAGTTCTTCTGGGTTCTCTATGTGTAATTAAGTGAACAATTGTAAAATTCTGTCCTTTTCAAGTCAGATTTCCTCTCATTGATTAAATTAACTTGATTTATTTTGTCTGTTTTTTGAATGTTTTGCTATCAGCTACTCATCTTTCTGAATTTGAAGCATATATGAACAAAAAAAAAAAACAAAAAAAAACAGGTAAATAAATAAATAAAACTATATAAGTATATTGGCAGAAAAACTTTCAAGTAAAAGAATTACTTAGTTGAAGTAAATTGGATTCTCTGCAAAGACATTTTTGCCCTGAACAAAACTGTGCTTGACATGTATGTCAATTGTCAAAGAAAGTGAATGTACACAAGATGCATTGAAAAGAAATTACAGTTTTATTCAAAAGGTGCTAGAGTGAAGTAAGTTTGATTAAGAATCATTTAATCCTCTGAGGGATGCAATTGATTTTTAACCAGATAGAGATTTAATAATATTTTTAGTAATATAATATAGTTAACCACTGAAAAGGAGTGTAGCAAATTAGAAGAAAAAAAGGCCCAAACTTCTCACAGCTTCATTTAATTTCAGGCTCAATTAAATCATTATTATTTTTTGGGGATCTTGGTGAATACCACCTAGGTGACTTGGTGGGGCTGTGTACAAGGGATGCTTGTTGGGTAAATTTTCTCTGTTGAAAAACAGTAGTTATACCGTATGATTTGATTGACGAGAATGAGGGGGTTATGTTCAGATGAGCAGAGAAACCATTAAGGATGTATTTTACTAAGATGAATTTTTAATAGCTTTTTAGTCAGATAATCACTTTCTGATGTTCAGAAATTGATTTTCTAATGACTAATCGAAATTTTGATTGCTCTATTGAGAGTCATTTTTCCTACAGCAGGCATTTTTCATGGTTTTATACACAATATGATCAAGAACTTGATTATACATGTAGCCTCAGCCTGTTGTACTGTACCATATATTGATACAGTTTATTTTATTTTATAAAACATCTGAAGCAGAATTTGATGAAGTTGAGGATGTAGTTATGTCAAAATACACATTAACAAATAGTACAATTTTTGCCCAATTATTGGAAGAAATGGTTAACAAGTTAATATGTAGTATGGTTAGTTTTCTAACAAATTATAATTTGCTGCATATTCTTGGTGTGAAATAACTGTCTGCTATTGGTTTTTTATTGATTTTTCTGACAGGAAAGATAGAAGCCCAGTAAAATTTGTTGGAGATAGACCCCCAGTCAATAGAGTCAGTTACACTCTAGATAGGAGAAAATGAGAAGGGGACTTTAGGCAGACAGTATTATAGGGTGATGAGAGATTAAATTAGGTGAAAATGAATTAGCAGCATTAAGTTCCTAGTCAACAGATAAATAGCTTGGTATGCCTGGAATTCTTTTGATATGTTTAAAGAAATCGAGTCAAAAAAGAAGAGATTTTTTTGTGGTTACTATCAATTTAAGTTATGGAAAATATATATACCATATGTTGAAGCTTTTTCAACTGAAAAAAAAAAATCTAAAGTAAAAATTTTAGACAAAAAGAGAATGTGATAGCCTTAACATATTATTTTTACAAATAGTTTGATGTAAGCAATGTGACAGTACTGGTCAAAGACTTACTACATGTATATACATAGACATAGTGCAATACTGGTGAATTATAAGATATACTTTTTCCAGTAATTAATTTTGTCAGTAGTTCATCTCTTGATTATGTCTTGACCTAAAATAAATTTTTTGATAAAATGACTTTTTTTTCAGAGCTGTAATTTTCGTTCGGGTAGAAGATGTGGACCGTTTTGCCCCCACTTTTGACAAGCCCGACTATGCTGTAGATCTGGAAGAGGACAGATTATATGACCCCTTGTTCACTTTACATGCCCATGACAAGGACAGGTCAAAAGAGTTCAGACAGATCTGTGAATATGAACTGGAAACCCCCAATGTTCCATTTTCTGTAGATAGAAATGGTGAGTTGTCAAAGAGCATATGCATGTGCATTTTTACAGAGATCAAAATTTACAGTTGTCCTATAATGTCTGATTGTGTGCACAACAAGTAGAATATCTATATGAGATGCTGATAAATATGTGTTTCTGCAAAAAAAAAAGAAAAAAAAGAATAGAAAGAAAACCTAGACAAACTGTTTTTTGTTGAATATTCTTTGTCTGTGCTTAAAAGTAAATTATAATGGTGTCATCGTTATCACGTCGCATTGCATTGAATGTTTAAACTTTTCCTCGGAATGAAAATGTAAATATGATGATGAATAGTTTGTTAAAATGTTTAAAAGTATTGATTGAAGAAGGGAAAGGAAAAATAGAGAATTGCCCACTATGTTTCTTGTTGTTGCATTTGGTAATTATATATCATTATAGATAATTTATAAGATTTTTGTTTTTATTTAAAAAAAAATAATAAGTATTCCAAAAGTTTACAACTTATTTTATCTTTGTTTCAGGAAATATTCGTAATACAGAGAAAGTCTATTACAGAGATAGACATAACTTTATTTTGAAAATCATCGCACGTGACTGTGGGGGAAGGAAGTCAAAGGCTGTGTTTATCAATGTATTAGTCAGGGAAAAATGCAAGCCACAATGGACAAGTAAGCAAAAATCAGAGATAACATTGTATCATAAGAAGCTTTTCTGAAAATCTGTTGCAGTGCAAACAAGCTGTGTTTATTCAGACAGAATTCACCAGCTGTTAGAATGATAAGTACTGACATGATAATCTGTTGAGCATTTTTTACAGATAAAGAATTTCCCTGTAGATTATCTTGTTAATTTTACAGTACTTACACATATATTTGTACAAAGTGACTAAAATTACATATTGACTGGAATATTTAGAAAATGGGCATTTAATTTAAATTCAAATTCTACATTGGAACTTTGGAATTAAAAATTTTTTATCATTCTTTAATGAATATTTTTTCAACTTCAATTATCTTCAGATTACTTTGCTGCTTGATTTTGAATTGTAATGATTTAGATAGAGATAATATTTTAAAATCGACATTCTTTGTAAGATGTCCCTGCTGCAATGCCCATATTTCTATCACTAGATTTCCCAGACCACCTGCAATATCTGGCTGGCAGTGGTAAACAGAGGGTGGCCCCCAAAGCCAGCCTCCGGTGGTGTGATGACACCTGCACCCCTGACCAGGTGACCCTTCAAATGCAGCTGGCCACCAAACACATCGGCAAGGGCTGCGACCGTGATACCTTCTCCATCTCATCACAGAGAAAATTGTGTGGTAAGTTAGATGAACAAAAATCAATACTCTCAATGACCTGTTTCCTTGACCATCAGGACATTGTTCATCTGTTTTCGTTTATGTGTCAATAAAGAAAATGAAGATGAGATCCAAAAGGTGAACATGCATTGATGTCCACAGTGTAATTAAAGGAAAAAAAGATATTTTGAGAAATTCTGTAATAATATTGCCTGTTTTTATGCTGTTTTATTTTATAAACAAATAATTTCTTACAATTATTGTTGATTTGTAATGGAGATTCTTAAAACTGGCATATTTCAACCACTTGCATGATTGATGGTGAAGCTGCAAGTAGACATTTTTAGTACCATTTAAGCTTACACTTTATTAATTCTGTTAGGTGCTAATGATCATGGTGTAGACTTGTTACCATCTCCTAGCCTGACCTCTTCCTGGACACGCTTCCTGCCTACTGACGATGGCAAGGAAAGTGACCAGGTGTTTTACTTTGATGGTGAAAACAATGCTGTAGAGGTGCCAGAAAACATCTTCAACCACACCCTGCATAAGCACTTCTCCATTATGATGTGGATGAAGCATGAACATTCTGAAATCAAGGGTAAAAAGTACCCTAAGGAGCACATCCTTTGCATGTCTGATGGAGATAGTAAGTTTTTAAACTCCTTTTGCGAAAACAGAATTCAGTATCAGTAACGCATTCAGAATTTATTGATAAATATTGATGAATGTCAAACATATTGGAAATCAGTACAAGTCCAAATTGTTTTTCTAAACTTAAGTTATTATGCTTGTTTATTTTAGATATGAATCGTCATCACTACTCATTGTTTGTACATGGAGATAAACTGGTTCTCCTTGTCCGTAGAGAGGCAGCTGACGCCTCTGACATGGAAGTCTTTAAGCCTGCTGAATGGCGGTGGAAAATTTCTGAGATCAACCAAAGAGATGAGTGGCACCATTATGCCATCAGCATGAATTTCCCTCATGTAAGTACAGTGTATTGAATACTATATGATAAATGGTTCTTACTGATCTCTAACTTTGCCTAAATATTGTCCTGTTTATGTTGTCATGAAGCATTTTTGAATCTTTTTGATGAAATGAAATATTTCATTAAGTTTTGCTTTTATCAAATTGAGTTATTTATATGTGTGACTTTCTCATTTTGGCATATTGTCTCTGCCTCCAGGTCCAATTGTTTGTTGATGGGAACTTGGTGATACCCAGTGATGAAAATTCAGAGGTTGTTGATGATTGGCCACTTCACAAGACTAACAAAGTTCATGACACCAAACTTATTGTTGGAGCTTGCTGGGAAGGTATGTACCAATATGTGGTCTCTGACTCTGTGAATAGCTTCCGTGTTATAAAGCTTATTATCTTTGGAGAGTATAGTTTAATCCTCCACGTAGTACATTACTTCACCTTTTTCAAAGTCAAAAAAAGTATGCATAAGATAGAAGCAGTGTTTTCAAACATTCACCAGCAGAAAATCTTGAATTTTTCAGGTGGCCATCATAAATTTAACCACTATTTCCGTGGCTATTTGGCTGGTTTGTCAATCTTAAAGGGCAAGACAGAAAGTGAGAGGGTCATTCGATGTCTGAACAACTGCCAAGAAAACTTAGACTTCAGTGCTCTCAGTGCCATGCATAGTGGAACAGTAAGATCTTGTCCCTCTAGTTGATGATTTTTGATACATTTATTTATTGTATAGTTTTCAGTGTTGTATCTTAGTTGTTTAATTCATCTTTGCAAGCATCATCAAAGTCATTTAGAGAATTAGTATTTAAACAGAAAAGAGCTTACATTATTTTCTTGTTTTTGCAGACTGTGAGCTTTAATAGACAGATGACAGACTTCCGAATTCAGAGTAAGAATGTGTCTGAGGTGCAGGCTTTATTGAGAGAAGTACACTACATCAATAGCAGAAAATTCCCCACTCCAGGCAGGCGAAATCTCACAGTGTCTACAGCTATTCAGTAAGTTCTTGTGAATTATTAGGTCACCTGAGTCACTCATGTGACCTATTGCTATCTCTTTTCGTCCATCGTCGTTCGTCGGTCATAAACTTTTGAACATTTTCAGCTTCTTCTCTGGAACCAGCAAACCAATTTCAACCAATTTTGGCATATAGCATCTATAGGTGAAGGGGAACAAAAATTGTGAAATTCGTGGCCCCTGCCCCCCTGGGGCCTGAGGGGTGGGGCCAAAACCATCAAAATTAATGCAATCTTTAAAAATCTTCTTCTTTACTCCTGGACATCAAGCAGTTAAACTGTAGGCATGATTGTAATAAGCATTGAGCCCTCTACCAAAATTTTGAAATTCATGGCCCCAGGGTCAGGGGTTCTGGTGCTAGGGCGGGGCTATATAGATCATACAGTGAAAGTGCATTATTTCTTTGAAAATCTTCTTCTCTACTCCTGGGTATTATTGAAATAAATTGAATACATAGTTATGATAAACAAGGGTGACTCTACCAAAATTGTGAAATTCATAGCCCCAGGCTCAGGGGTTCTGGTGCTAGGGCGGGGCTATATAGATCATATAGTGAAAGTTCATTATTTCTTTGAAAATCTTCTTCTCTACTCTTGGGTATTATTTAAACAAATTAAATACAATTAAAAACAAATACATAGTTATGATAAGCAAGGATGCCTCTTCCAAAATTGTGAATTTCATGACCCCTGGATCAGAGGTTCTGATGTTAGGGCGGCCTCTATTTATTATATAGTGAAAATGCATAAATGCTTTAAAAATCTTTTCTGCACCTGGGCATATCAGAGGCAAAAAGAGTAGAAGTTTTAATAAGGAAGGGTATTTTTACCAGATTTTTGAACATCAAGACCATTTCGTCAAGTGTTCTGGTCCAGGCCAGGGCTCTATTAATTTGTATTCTACTGAGAGGAGTTATTCCCCTTTGCCATTTACTTGGGATAATTAATCACTGTAAATAATGTACTTGAAAGGTTAATAGAATAAGAGAATTATGCAAGAATTTTTATTGTATAATACAAAAAGTACTTTCATAATTTTAATGATCAGGTAGACTTGTAAGTAATAGATAAATAAAAATGAGAAGTAAATAACTTGTCTTATTAAATGTTCATCAAAGACCAAGAGAGGCCAATGTAAAAGATTTCAACAAGGAATTAAAAGAGATTAAAAGAGTAGAGAAGCACTGATAGTTTGTTTATATACTGTGTGGTGAGAGTGATAAATGGGGAACAGATTAGAACCTAATTTATGAACTGTTAATGAATACTAGACTAATTATTTTGTTGATCCTGATCACCCTATTTTTCTTGCTTTTGGGCAACAAAGCTTCACCTTTCAGTTCATTTTATACTGTATGGATCCTCTAAATTGTTGTATTATACTCAGGTGACCGTTAAGGCCCTTGGCCTCTTGTTTAATTTAAAAATGTGCCTAGATAAAACTGCATTTTAATCTATACACTTATTTCATGACTATGAGGGGAACAGTCAGACTGTTGTCCCGAAGTAATGGGGAAAACCTGGGGAACTGTTGCCCGAGGCCTTCGGCCTCAGGCAACAGTTTCCCAGGTCTTCCCCATTATCGAGGGACAACAGTTTGACTGTTTCCCGAGTTGTCATGAAATAAGTGTTTTATTATGTACTATATAATTTCTTAAAGTAATGATATAGACACATACAAAGTATGCATTATTTCTTAGTGTTATCATGCCCAATAAATATTGATGTATACATGTATTGTTTAATAAAAAACATAAGATGACTTGAAGGTTTGAATATAGCACGCTGAATCGGGACGTTTTAAAATGCAAAGATCTATAGAGAGTGAAAGGGGCCTACATTTTTCCAAAATTACCCTCAGAAAAGGTGTTCTTGTCCTCTTCTTTCAAATGATATTAAATTGAATATATATATTTATTTGGGTAACAGGATTACTCTTCAAATGATAATTTCAAATTTATTGCCAAGAAAATGCTTCAATTTATACATAATTCAATATTATAACTGTAAAGTACGGGAAATTAATTATGACGTCATAATGGATTAGTTCAGCCATGCAACAGTTCATTCTGTGACCGGGTAAACAGTTTTTGACTGTTTCATGATGTGCAAAAAACATTAAAATGATTCAGGAAACAGTTCAAAATGCCTAATTACAATTTATATAGTAGGTTAGGTAATAAAGCTTTTGTTAAATATTACACCAGTATGAGCACTTGTTTTTGAATTCAGAATGGACACAATTACATTGTGCCTTTGGACAGATATAGATAGACTGTTTGTGTAGGTGACATGCACATACATTTGTACATTTAAATTATTCCTTGTTACAAACCAGGTATCAAACATCTGTTCATAGAGATGAGGATATGTCATTATTAACAACTGTCATAATGATTTTCAGTTGTGGGTCAGTTGAAACCTTCCTCCCTAAAGTGGACAGCTATATCCTGGTCAGACCAGCAGCCACACCCTCTATTACCCTCCGAGGACACCCTTCCATCAGAGCCACTGAGGACAAACTCAAGGCTGGCGTGAGGATTTTTGAGGACATCAATATATCTGTAGATTTTGCTGTAGAGAAAACTGGAGGAAAGGTGAACCATATTCTTGGAGAAGATGAAATTAAAGATGGTAATTCTGATATAGAACTGGGCAAAGAGGAGAAACTGCAGTTGAAATTGGAGAGGAAGAAGGCAAAACGTAAGTATAAACTGATTAAAGCATAAAAAAAATTAAAGAGAAGACAATTTATATGAGGAATTTAAAGATTGTAGTTAATTTGGTATGCATTGTTATGTTAAAAAAAGCACAGACAAATTTTGAAACAAAAATATGAAGGAAGATTTTTCAAAATCATTTATGGTGATTATGGTTTCATGCAAATGAACAGTGGTTATTATTATTTTTTTTTTTTTTACAGAAGACACAATCAGCAAGGTTTCAGATGCCCAGTTGATCCTGTTAGACATGTGCACTGTGAAGGCAGATCCCCCTCTTGATCTTTATCATGAAAGGCTAGAACTACCCACATCCATTATGAATGAATTCAACATGAAAATTGAGGGCACACAAACTAGTGAGGGCCTGGTAATTTCGAGTAAGTGGAACTTTTCTGTACACTTAACACTTATACATGTGTACATCAGACTGTTTCAACTTCTGCAATCATATCTAATGTGATTCTGAAACCAGACCCAATCTTGCAACAAATTGGTTATTCTTCAAAGAATTCATCATGAGGTTGACAATATTTCAGATGCAGATAACATCGAGGATTATGTCTTGGTGCTGAGAGGAATTCTGTATGTCCATGAAAAAGATAAACCATTTACAGGACGTAGCTTCCATTTGTCATGTTCTTCACAGAATGGTCGCTTTATCAGCAATTTCATGGACATCAAGGTATTTTTTTATTGTATATAAGTAAGACTTGCAGGTACAGTACATTGTACATATAGAAATGAAAACTGTGAGTTACAAATTGTTATTTTATGCCCAACCTTGAATATGGCTGGGGCATATAGTGTTTGTCATTTTTTTTCCATCCCTCTGTACTTCCATTTGTCCAACCATCACACTTTGCATTTAGCCAAGTTTCAAAAACACTATTCAAGAAATATTAACCAAAATTCATACACTGATGCATATTGATGAGTGTGATTCTCTGTGACCTTGACCTCACTAATCCCAAATTTTGTGTTTAGCTCAGTTTCAAAGAAAATATTCAGATACATGTATTTTAATCAAACTCATAACTCTATACATATTGATGAGAACTTTTCAACTGTGTCATTGTTTTCTCACTCTGACCTTCCCTGCGACCTTGAGCTCATTATTTCCCTATTTAAGGTTTAGCTCAATTTCAAAGTAATTTCTGTCAAAACTCATGAAGTTCTCTATGATCTTGACCCCACTTTTTGTATTTAACATTTGAAATTTTTAGAGAATTTGCCTTGTGTGAAAATATTTCAAAATACTGTAGACTTAAAATTTTCTTTTTGTGTGCGATTAATTTATGTTGTGTAGGCAGACACAGATTTTCCATAGAAATTTGTCACAGCATACTTAAAGCTCATTTAAGACAAATATTTAAAATATTTTTATTGAACTTTGTCTATTGAACAAAGGAGATGGGTGAACATGACGAGCAATAAGCCTATAGTGTGACAAACATGAAGATGAAAAATTAAATTTCAATTATATCAAAATTTTCCTTGATATTTTGTCTAACATTAAATTATACTTTATGTAAAATCTCTATAATTTGCAAAAATCCGTCAAAGATTGAAATTATTTGCCTGTGAAATATTAGACACACACTAAAACGGGCAAAAAGAGTCATTTTCTCATACTATAATACTAATTTTCGATATGAGTGGGTCTTCGCTCCACCTTTTTGAAAGTTAATTCTCAAAGTTTGCATAAAAATATACATTTTTTGGTTACCAAAAATATGGAGCAATGACCCACTATACCTTAAAAATATACTTTTTTGACATAACATTCGCATCTTTTCGAGAAATACTTGAAGTCCATTAAGTCAAGGGTCATATCACAAACATGATTTAAATGCCACTATTCATCAGGACTTGTGTAGACTAGTGGTTAGCGTGCTAGTCTCGAAAGAAAATAATACTCAGGATTTTTATTGCTAGGGTTCAAACCCCACGAATACCACATTAATTTTTTTAATAAAAGAATAAATTTTGCCGAGAAAATTTTCCTCAGAAAAGTTTTGTTTATCATAATTTCATAAATTTCAATAATGAGAACTTTACTCTAAATACTAAATTCACAAACTGAACATGATTTTTATATATCTGAAGCTATAGGCTTTCTGCACGCTATGTTCGCCCATCTCCTTTGGTGAGAGTAATGAGTGTGTGTCATAATATTTTTGATCTTGACCTTCCTTAAGGTATCCGACCCATATTAGGACTTAATTTTCTAACCTTAAATATCCATCCTATATTAAATACTTTGATATTAATTCAAAGCATTTTAGAGTAGTAAAGGATTTACCAAGAGAAATTTTCAAAAATATAATTACCTAAGCAGTAATTAATTAATGAAGATTGCATTGATGTTTATGGGGACAAGAAAATTTTTGAAAATAAAACTTTTAATACTAAGAATATCAAAAAATGCTTTGGTGGAAAGATGTATTTAATTATAAGGAATAGAAAAGCGATTGAAAACTAAATTTTTACCAGATAGATTTTTCAGAATTGATTTTTATTGATTAAAAGCAAAGGGGGATAACTCTTCAAGGACAGGACAAGGTCAAAAATTAGGACACATTCCGCTCTTACATATTGATACTAAAACATGAAGATTATGTCTACATATACTGAGTATTCAGCCAATATATATCTGTTATACATTCAGATTCACTGAATCTGAGGCTATTATGGGTCGGATACCTTAAATTATATAATTTCATAAAGGATAACTTCATAAAAAAACACACACACCTATAAATCTCTGCAAGAGCATTATATCCTGTATATGCATTAAGAGATCATATATAAAAAATATTCTTCCAGGTAATAAAGGTCGAAGAAGAAAATAATGTGATTCTGCCAATGAGAGCCCAGCAGGCTGTTCAGCATATTCAGCTACCCTCTGTTAGTGGGACAGGCAATATGGCTGTCGGAGCAGCTTCTCCAAGTAAGTAGGCCATATGATCATGTTTCAGTTGGGAGAAAAATTGTCTTGTTCTGATGTGAACGTATGTTATCTTGCAAAAAGCAAGTTAAAGTTACATGTATTTTCACTGTATGTAAAACTGGCTTTTCTTATTCCTTAAACAGATGTAGGTATGGTGGCAATTATTGTGGTGTGTGTGGGCTTCCTCTTATTCATGATTATTCTGGGGGTCATCAGAATCCGTGCGGCCCACAGAAGGACCCAGGTTGTACAGGTAGAGCCAGAGATGGAGTGGGACAACGAAATGAACCTCACTGTCAATCCCATGGATGAGGAGACACACCCACTGCATGTAAGTTTTCACATCATGTCTTGTAAATTTTTTATAGAAATGATGAATGAGAAGATGACAGTTTATGGCTGTTCAGAATATATGTTTAGACTTATTTCTTCATTTGATTTGATTTTGTGGTGTAGATTTTAGAGCATATGTTATTGAAATAATTTTTCTCTAAAACTGAGATGTCAGACAGTTTTTGCTAAACTGAAACATTTCATTTAATTAAATGTAAAAAAAAAGAAATGGGAGATTGGATTGGGAAATCTTAAACATACCTGTATATTGTTGTAGCTACATTTCTGTGTTCCAGGTGTTTGATTATGATGAGGGTGTTGGGAAGTCGATGAGGGATGACAGCGACTCTGAGGATGATTGCAGTAGTTATCATGAGGAGGAGGGGGACGATTCCTCAGATGAGGAAACAGTGCCCAAAAAAGAATTAGAATGGGACAATGAACTGTGAGGAAATATAAATCAAACATTTCTGTTGAAAGAATTTTGATTAAATTTTTGATTTCAACTTTTAAAAAAAAACTTACAGTAGGAGTAAATCCCACCGAGTTAAGACTTACTGGGTTTTTTTTAAGTCTGTTACTTACATGAAATTAGTGATAAGGCAGTAAAGTAAAATTTTAAAAGTGATAAATGTGTAATATTTGAATTTTATTGTATAAACATTTTTTTTTTAAATCACAGTACAAATGTGCACAATTTATTCATACAAGCAAATACATTTGTTGACTGAGCTGTTATTGTTAAGACTTGTACCTAAGAAAATCATATCAATGACATTCACATTAGGGTTAAGTTGCCATGGTGATCATGATGCTTTAATGTCCACTTTCTGTCATTATGTTGTGTTTTTGTTTAATTATGTATGGTGCTGTTACTCAAAGTAAAGAGTATTTCTTTTTTGAGGGTTTAATTTTAGAACTGCAGGTGAAGTACATTTATATGACATTTACTTCAGTTAAAAGTACACATAGGTACTGTAAATTTTACTTCCTCTTAAATTATGTATTAGGTTTATTCCTAGAAATTCTTATTAAGTTTTACCTTTCCATTTTTTAAAGAAATCTATCTTTATAATTCACGTGTTGTGAATTTAATATTTGTATATATAGAATTTATAGATAAATGTAATGTAAACTTTGATGTGAATATTTTAGCAAAGGTTGTATAATCTTCAATATAATTATTTTTTTTTTAAATTTTGATTTATTTTAAAAGCACTTTTACAACATTCCATTTATTTCTTAGTCAGTTAATACGATGTACATGTATACACATTTCATCTGTTTGTTTTCTAAGGTCATAAGCTCAGTATTGACTTTTTAGAGGAATTATGATATTTCAGGGCTTACATTACGTGTTGTGATTATCATTGTTTGTGATTCTTTTGTCTGTAGCTAAGCAATCTCAACTATGTATTTCTCATATCAATACAGACTTGTTCTCAAAAAAAAAAAACATACCTAATCTCCCAATGTGTAACACTGTTGGTATTCTAAAATGAAAGCTTTTTTTTTGGCATATATATGTACAGCCAACAATTAGATTGTTGAATGATACATTTTATGTTTAATGATATTTTATACCAGTGTCCAATATGAAAAGTATTTTTTTTTACTTAATTCTTGGATGTACGTGTAATTGTGAAATTAGATTATTTGCATATTACAAAGAATTTTGTCCATTCCATAATTTTTACTGTTTTTAATCATTTCATTCCACACAGACATTCATTGAATAACAAAAAGGTTTCTCAGATGTATATACAAGTAGTGTTGCAAGATACCTTCATTCCATGAACAGACTACATGTAGTTCACTTGAAAGTTTTCAGCAATAAAATGTGTAATTTTTGCATAATACAGTATTTTAATTTGCAATTTGGATGTAAGTTAATGATTATGGGCATTTTAGACTTATTATAACTGCTTTTCTTTTTTTGTGGCATAAACTTTGCTGCTACCATTTTTATAATGTTCATGTAATTTGAATTATACTCTATATACTACCAAAAAGAAACATATACATAGGTTTATCATCATTTGCTATTTGAGCCTTTTTTGAACTACATAAATCCAAAGGAAAACTAGACACAAACTTGTCTTTATTGAGGAATTTCTTTAAAGAGTACATGTTGGAACATTTTGTCAATTTGGCCACACAATGAATATGGCATGTAGTGTAAATCATTTTTGTAAATAAAAGAGGCTATCATATTAAATTTGTCAGTTATATTTTGAAAAAGAAACTCCTTTGTTTCTACCTCATTGAGCTGGAGGTTCATAAAAAGATAGATATGCCCCTTTCAGAGAAAAACAAGATGTGTTTGTGAAACACTGATGCCCCCATATGGCAACTTATAGCAAAGGTTAAACTTTCTCAAATGCAAATCAAATATGTTGGTACCCAAAGTAAGGTTTTGTCCTGAGGAATATAACTGTGAAATATGAAAGCCCTAGCAGCAACCATTGAAAAGATATGGAAAAGGTTGAAGTTTTTCAAAAGTTAGTCAAACATCAATGTCAAGGTCAATTGATCAAAATTAATGGTGCCCAAGGAAAGGCCTTAATTCTCACAAGAAATAAACGTCCTGGCACCAACCATTCAAAAAGACATGGCCAAGGTTAAAGTTTTTCAAAAGTAGGTCAAATTCCAAGGTCAAAGGGTCAAAGTTGTTGGTATCCAAAGTAAGATCTTGTCACAAAGATTACACATGTGAAGAATGAAACCCCTAGCACCAACTGTTCATAAGTCATGGCCAAGGTTAAAGTTTTCCAAATGTAGACTAATTTACAACACTGAACAAGTTTCAACTTTGACGCAACTGTTTTTTAGCTCACCTGAGCCGAAGGCTCAAGTGAGCTTTTCTAATCACATTTTGTCTGTAGTCTGTCTGTCTGTCTGTCCGTCTGTAAACTTTTCACATTTTCAACTTCTTCTTAAGAACCACTAGGCCAATTTCAACCAAACTTGCCACAAAGTATCCTTGGGTAAAGGGGATTCAAGTTTGTTCAGATGAAGGGCCATGCCCTCTTTCAAGGGGAGATAATAAAGAAATAGTGAAAAATTAATAGCATCTTTTAAAAATCTTCTTCATAAGAACCACAAAGCCAGGGAAGATGAAACTCATGTGGAAGCATCCTCAGGTAGTGTAGATTCAAGTTTGTTCAAATCATGACCCCCAGGGGTAGGGCTGGGCCACAGTGGAGGATCAAAGTTTTACATAGAAATACATAGGAAAAACCTTGAAAAATCTTCTCAAGAACAGCAAAGCCATGATGAGTCATATTTATATGGAAGCATCCTCAGGTAGTGTAAATTCAAGTTTGTTCAAATAATGACCCCCGGGGGTAGGGCGGGGCCACAATGGAGGATCAAAGTTTTACATAGAAATGTATAGGAAAAATCTTTAAAAATCTTCTCAATAACAGCAAAGCCCAAATTGGTCATATTTATATGGAAGCATCCTCAGGTAGTGTAGATTCAAATTTGTTCAAATCCTGACCCCCCGGGGTAGGGCGGGGCCACAATGGAGGATCAAAGTTTTACATAGAAATATATAGGAAAAATCTTTAAAAATCTTCTTCTCAGGAACAGCAAAGCCCTGATTGATCCTATTTATGTGGAAGTATCCTCAGGTGTGTAGATTTAAGTTTATTCAAATCATGACCCCCTGGGGTAGGGTGGGGCCACAATGGAGGATCAAAGTCTGAAATAGAAATATATATTAGGAAGATAGCTTCTGATGAAGAACTGCAAAGCCATGATTAGTCATTTTGATAAGGAAGCATCCTTAGGTAGTGTAGATTCAAGTTTGTTAAAATGATGACCGCAGGGGATTGAAAATTTTACATAGGAACATATAGGAAAATATTTTCTTCTCAAGAACTGAAAATCATGTTTAGTCATTTTGATATGGAAGCATCCTCAGGTAGTGTAAATTCAATTTTGGTTCAAATGATGACCCCCGAGGGTAGGCTGGGGCCCAATAGGGGGATCAAAAGTTTTACATAAGAACATATAGAAAAATATATTTCTTCTCAAGAACAGAAAAGCTATGTTTAGTCATATTGATACGGAAGCATCCTCAGATAGTGTAGATTCAAGTTTGTTCAAATGATAACCCCTGGGATAGGGAGGAGCCACAATGGGGGATCAAATATTTACAAAGGAATATATGGGAAATTTTTTAAAAATCTTCTCAAGTACAACAAAGCCATTTGTTATATTGACATGGAAGTATCATCAGGTAGTTTAAAATTCAAGCCCCCCCCCCCCCCCCCCCCCCCCCGTAATCTTTTCAATACTGAACTGATTTGTGCTTTTGCCTTGCCAATGTGCTCAGGTGAGCGGTGTGGCCCATGGGCCTCTTTTTTTTTTTTTTTTTTTTTTTAATAATTTAAACAAAATAATTCTGCTGAAAATTTGCTAGCATAGAGTAGTTTTGCAGTATATAGCTGATATTTTTAAAAGAGTGTAGTATTATTTACTGGTGACTTCCAGTTAGATTGCATGCTTCAAAATCGATCTTTTTCAACCTTCACTAGGACATTCTTCTCTTGCTGAATGTGATATAGACATAAAATATGGATAATAAATCCACATATGAGGTCCACTGATATCACAAATAGCATTTACACCTAGAAATAGTACAAGAATGGTTAATTATCAATATAATCTATAATTTCATAGGTTGTAATAATGCAATGATATATTGGAATACCTAACATTCATCATATAAATTAAATGCAGAAAGAAGTACACCCCCTACTTTGCATGTTAGCCATAATTACTCGGTGCTTATGATGTACAGTAAAACTGAATAAGAAGTATATGTAAGTTATGATAATTTGTAAATTCTGTGATTTATGTTGCACTGCAAAATATGTTCATTTAACACTTACATTTACAGATATACATGTATAAACATTTAAAGTAAAATGCATGTTTTATCGGTAAATAATAATTTATATCAAACAATCAAATTCAAAGATTTGTGGTCCCCTGCTTTCAGACTGTCTTAGTGGTTGAGATATTGTAAATGTCTTGTCTCTATATCCTACCTTGTCTGTCCATCATACAAAAAAGGTTTAAATTTTTGAATTAATAGTTATAAAAGTTACACTCAAGGTTAAAGTTTCTAAAAATTTCATCAATCTTCAAGATCAAGGTCATGATGGAAGTCATATTATCATTGGTAAAGTACAGGTAAAATATGAAAGCCCTATCTTCTATCATTCAGAAGTTCTTACCAGTGCATCAAATTTGAAAAGTCTTGGGATCAAAAACCATAGTTCATTTAGAAAGGTCTTGGAACAAGTAATGCACGTGTCAAATATGAATGCTCTATCTTCTCTTATTCAAAAGCAATCTCCAATGTTCTAAGTTTTGAAATAGGTCAATGGTTCAAAAATCATAGTTCATTTGGAAAGGTCTTGTCTCAGAAAATGCACGGGTCAAACATGAATGCCTACTTTCTCTCATTCAAAAGTTATCACCAATTTTAAGATTTTTGAAAAGTAGGACAAACATAAAGGTTTTGGGGTCAAAAGTCATCAATATTACATTTGGAAGGTCTTTTCAAAGGTAATACACATCAAAAATGAACACGGCATATCAAAAGTTATTACCAATGTTAATTTTGTTGAAAAGTAGGTCAAAGGTCAAGGGTCAAAGATCACAGTACATTTAGAAAGGTCTTGTCACAGGTAATGCATATGTCAAATATGAATGTCCTGTTTTCTCTCATTCTAAAGTTATCTTACTTACTTAGTCCTCTTTGTGCTGGTCAGCACATAAGGCCGTCACCAGAGACTTCCATGTTGGTCTATCTCATGTCCATCTCTGGACCTGCCCCCATGACCATTGTTCTCTTTTATTTCTTTCTCCACCGATCTTCTCCAGGGGCCCTTTTTACAAAAGAACTTATGACTAAGACCAAAATTTAATTCTGCTTATTATTTCTAATTTACATTGATTTGAAAATGGTTTTAATCTTTTTAAAAAGAATTTAACAGGATGTTTTTATGCTAGCAATTTCAAATGGAATAATAAATTTTGCAAAATTTTATAATCAACTAAGTTTTTGGTCTTAGTTGTAAGTTCTTTTGTAAATCAGGCTCCAGGTCTCTTTTGGTCTTCCTCTCTTTCTCTTTACCGTTTGGTGTCCATCTCAATGCAACCCTTGGGATGAAGGTTGGATGCATTTTGCATATGTGTCCTATCCACAGCCATTTTCTTTTCTCTATAACATGGGATAGAGGAGTGGTGTTAGTCCTTTTGTACAGTTCTTCATTTGAGATGGTATTAGGCCAGAAAATGCGTAATATTCTGCAAAGGCAACGGGTCTGGAAGGCATCTAGCTTGATTGAAAATTAATGGTTTTTGTTACTCTCCATGATTCAGCACCATACAGGAGGACCCCAAGCACATTACTCTTGAAAAATCCTAATTTTGGTATTTACTGTAGATTCCTAAATATACGCGAGGAATAAATTATCGCATAATTACGCGAGAAGCACCACTTGCGAAATAAAATAACTTGCTTTTATTTTTATGGTGCTTTAATGTATGTAAAATCTCTAGTATATAACTGATTTGCAAATTGTTCCTGCAATTTGATGCCCTTGGGCAATTTCGTGATATTAAGTACTCGCGTAAAATAAGGAATTTACAGTATGCTAATCTTTGCTGACCTCCAGATGTTTCACAGTGCAACATATGCTCCTGTGGCTTTAGAAATCTGAGCTAGTACATCTACCTCAGAATTCAAAAGTTATCATTGATTTTAAAAATTTTCAAAAGTAGGTCAAACTTCAAGGTCAAAGTCACAGGGTCAGAAATCAAAGTACATTTAGAAAGTTCTTGTAACAGGTAATGTACATGTGAAGTATTAAAACCCTATCTTTTCTCATTCAAAAGTTATGACCAAGGTTAAAGTTTTTTGTGACAGATGAACGAGATTTAATGTCTTCTTGCTTTTGCGAAAGCAAGGGGCAAAAATTGTTGTTGCTCAATAGAACTCATGTGTTTGGATTTATAACAAAGAACAAAATCCTCAACATATTAACTTCCATGGGAATACATTTGTTAGTGTACGTACATGTGTCAATGTAGCATTTCTTTTTTGCTTGTGTAAAATTGAGAAACGTCACACTTGGTAGTTGACATTTCATTCAAAATGAATTTCTTCACAGTTTTTATCAATACTTCTGTGCAGTAAAACATCTTTCTCAAAACTTTGTTCTAATATGGACTTTTTGACTGGGCAAAAAAGTTTTCAGTCAAGTTGATATATAAAATAAAGCATAAGGTGTCATTAATACTCCTTTCTCACAAACAGCACAGCAAACATTCAATACACCTTAGATTAGTTTTTTTTTATCTTCATGTAATAAAGAAAATTCAATCCATGTCTGTTGTGGATTCCTGTATGTAGAGAGAGGATTAAGGATGTTGTCTTTCTCTGTAACTCTGTCATGTTTTAATGAAAATGTAAACCCCAAACCAAATCCTGATATAAGAATTGGATGATTGTAGATGCATCCTGCAGGTCATTCAAGAATATATATTTGAAAAGTACATATAAATTTTCCATTATTTTATTCTTCAGACAAATCCATTCTAATTTGTGTAGAATCTTAAACACAGTTGTATTTATTAAGTAAAAATTCTTCACAGAGAAGATTGTCACATATACTGCACACTAAAAGAAAGGATCAAAGAATTCATGACCAGAACAAAATACATATAGTACATACATTTATAATCACACAAACTGACTTTGGAATAAAACACAAATTAAACAAACATATTTTCGTGACAAGATAACATAAAATTTATTATGCTGAACAGAAATTTTAAGCAAAATACATCACGCTGCATTGCATTTCCGTAATTTTGCGTAGCATTTCTGACAATTTTTTAATTTCATTTTGGACAATTTTTATTTTCATTTCTGACATTTATTTTTTTTTCATTTCCAGAATTTTTGCAGGGTATCTCTGTGGCAATTTAATGTTAACCTAGTTGGTGGAAATGGAATTTTAAAAGAATTTGTTTCAAACCACATTTTCAAAATTTGCCTTATAATTTTCATCCTAACATATCTGATTTCAAACTTGAACTGAACATGAGTGAAAGTTCACAACACTTACAAGTGCCTCAAGGAAAGAAACAAATCTTTTATTTTCGCTTCACTGATAGCTAAGCAAAACTCATTATTTGGATTTCAATGATTTATTTATGATTTATTCTTTAGAATTTTTATAAGTGAAGCCTTCAATCTTGCTTTCGTTGCTGAAAAGTACTACCTGAAAAATGTCGGAGATGAAAACTTGAAAATGTCAGAAATGAAAACTATAAAATGTCAGAAATTAAAAATTGAAAATTTCAAAAAATTCCGGACATGAAATGCAGCAATACATCAATGGCATAATAAGCTCCTAGTGTTGGCAAATTCTAGTGATAGCCACTTTTGGTATTACCATGACTAAAAACCCTGATCTTAACCTTATCAGAAAAAAGGTCTTTATAAACTATTTCACGTATACAATGTATATCCAGTTATATATTACCTTTCATTTGAATCTGTCTTGGAGGAATTTACTGGAATTTTAGTTTTATATTCTGGTTGAGAATACATGTACATTTACAGTATGATTCAGAATGAAAACTTTTAACTGTAGTGTCCTACTCTGCATAATCCCTACTGTCCAAATTCTTGAAAATGGCAGAAAGATATGTACATCTATAGCTGCAAAACATAAGTCAAAACTACATGTATGTACATATACACGATATCTATGATATCTACTAAAAAGTACCTTATAATATACAGAAAGGCAAGAACACTGTTAAAACTGTGACATTTTGAAATGTTAAATGAAAAAAAATGTTGTTCATGCATGTGTTCAACAAAGATTTCATTGCGTCCATGCATTACTAAGTTATGTACCTTTCTGTTGCTATGGCTAAAATACAATGTATTTAACTGTACTAGACTGCCACGAACACTGCTGTTTTTGAATCATAGTACATATGTCTATAAATTAATTACATGTACAACAGCTGCATTCCTCTTTTCCATATCTTTGGTAAATTTCTGATAGAGTTGATGTAAATGTTTGTTTGAAAATGACTTCTAGAGATAGCAAACAATTCACCTGACTGTATTTTAATGAACTTAATAATTTCCCCTTTTAAATGGTTTAAAATTTTAGAGTCACAATAATTTGGGGTTTAATAGTGAAAAAAAAAAATCATGTGCGACCAAGTAATTTTCATTCTAAAAATATGTGTACATAATACTACATATATATCGGTACACAGTTTTTGACATACATGTAGTGATAAACAGAATTGTATATCAGTAAATATTTGGTACTGGCAATCACCAGACTATGAGTCAATATAATAATGTACACATATTTTATTTAGTGAGAAACAAATTAGAACTGACTAAAAATCTGACACAGATAACAAATCTAACAAAGTAAAATATGCTAGCAAAACTATTCAAATTATGTCATAAATATAAATGAAATTAAAAAAAATAAATCATCAAATGAATGTAAACAAATTATAATCCAACAGAGATGGACTTGAATTTAAACACCTCTTCTTTATAAATAATTCTACATATTAGAAAACAAAATGAATAAAATAAATAAGTACAACATAATACCTTCAATTTCAGCAATATTATTCATTATAAATTAACCCTACTTCTTCATTACAGGGTTCCTATATTTGCATATTATTCGATTAATATTTTAATAATATTGACATTGTTGAAATAATGATAACTTTAAGATGTCAGGATACCGGTACATAGAACTGTTGTCATTTTCAATGTCTGGAATCTGAATACACATTATATTTGTGCAGCCCTCATTATTTAAAGTTGAAAAAGTCAACCTGCAGGTATGTGATGAACTTCAAAAAAAAATCACTTGCAGCATTAAACAAAGCATTCCCATTAAATAAAAAATACAGAATGTTACTCTTAAATTATTTCAATAAACATTTTGCTTTTCTCATAACAGAATATTTGCAAGAAAGTAGCAAGTTCACATAACTTTTCTTTATCAAATTGAGAAAACTTTTGACATTTGATACTTTATGCCTTTACAATACAATGGACAATAATTACAGATCCTGATGACATATCCTTCACTGTTCTCATATGGACATCAACAAAAAAAAATATTATTCATGGCTTTGAACTTCTGTCTGTTGCTGTAAATATTGCTGCAATTTCTCCATGGAATGGCATTTTAAACAGTTAATCTTACTTTGTCCTTCATTCAATAGGTCCTAGGTATTTCTGTATAAAACTGTCCAAGTTCTTATCCAAGTAGTCAGCTTTATTTCTGTATAATGAAAAAACATATTACAATGGATTTGATTTTACATATACTATATAAATTTGCCAATTGACATGTAAATGTAAAAAAAAAAAAAAAAAAAAAAGAAGATACTTGTACATATTTTAGCTTTTCAAAAAGTAAAATATTTTTCTCATCAAAAGATTTTGATAGTATGCACAGTAGGCAAGACATACAAAAATAAATTTGGTCAGTACATGCACTATAACAAAGCATCCATTATTTGACTTGAATTTACTTTTTTCCACTTAAAACTGCTGTTGCGTAGACAGGAAATCTCTCTGTCAGTACATTACTGATAAAGCATCCATTATTTGACTTGTATTCACATGTACCTGAGTGTTTTTCCTTTAGAACTGATATCTCGTAGACGTGAAATCTCCCTGTCCAGGTCATTAATTTCCTCCTCTAAGCCTTGTTTGGATATGTCCACTTGGTTACAAAGTCTGGCAAAAGTACTGGTCAGCTCTCTGTAGAAGATTTTGATCTTAATGAATAACTTTCTAAATACATGTCTACATGTACATGCATCACACATAACATATACAGTGTACATGTACACATAAATACCCCCCCCCCCCCCTTCTTTACAATCTCATCTTTCAAATGATTTTGGCAATCCAAAAATCAATGCTTTCATTGTTTCTCAAAACAAGATAAGCAAGTTATAATGCATGAATATATTCTATGTACATATATAATCTAAACAGTTCTCCATATATTTTATAGTTTAATTAGCACTAACTGGACAAAGAAACAATAGACTCCTTACTGTTGTACTTGGTGACTACAGTTGGCACTAGTGAGATCTACTATCAGCTTCAGTTTACTGGCCACATAGTCCACATACTGCTTTTTGAAGGCCCTCTCTTTGGCTTTGTTGGTCCAGGTCATTCTCTCATACAGGTACAGCACCCCATACAGAGCTCCCACTACAGCAATGATACGCCAGCCCGCTACTTTGGCAACCTACCACCAAAAAAAGGCATTAAAAAAACAGGCAGGTGGATAACTACAAGCTTCAAGCTGGTACGTGTATGTACAAGAAAAAATAAATTCATTGTTTTAAATATATATACAACTGTTGGGAAAAAAATTAAAGGATCACATAAATTCTAGGCAAGCTACCTCTTGAACGGGTAATTTCTTTAAAAAGAAAATAAATAAATGGAAATTAAAGAGAAATTCTCACCACTCCTCCTATGATAAGAGCCCCCATTGTTGTCCTCGATGAAACGGAGGCAATCGTGGTAATTACACCCACTAGTACCTGGTTATTTTGTGCCTGTCCAGGAATAGGTCTAGGAATCTGTCAAAAGTATGCAAAGGATTACCAACAAGTTTACCTGAATTTATCTCCAGAAAATTCCCATCAATTGCCTAATAAACCACATACATGTACTGCACTATCTATTGCAAACTTTGGAACCTAAATTTAAAACAAGAGGCCCACGGGCCACATCGCTCACCTGAGTAACTTTGGCCATGCTGTTCTTTATCAGATTCCCCCCCTTGTAATACCTATTGTGGCCCTGTCGTACCCCCAATGTAAAACTTGGATTCCTATTGTGGCCCTGCTCTACCCCCGGGGGTCATGATTTGAACAATTTAGTATCATTAATACTCCATGATGCTTCCACATAAGTTTCAGTTTTTCTGGCCCAGTGGTTCTTGAGGAGAAAATTTTTAAAGATTTTTCCTATATATTTCAATGTAAAACTTGGATTCCCTATTGTGGCCCCACCCTACCCTGGGGGTCATGATTTGAACAATTTAGAATCTACACTATCCAAGGATGCTTCCACATAAGTTTCAGCTTTTCTGGCCAAGTGGTTCTTGAGAAGATTTTTCGTATATATTTCAATGTAAAACTTGGATTTCCTATTGTGGCCCCGCCCTACCCTCTGGGGTCATGATTTGAACAATTTAGAATCTACACTTTCCCAGGATGCTTCCACATAAGTTTCAGCATTTCTGGCCCAGTGGTTCTTGAGAAGAAGATTTTTAAAGATTTTTCCTAAATATTTCAATGTAAAAATTGGATTCCCTATTGTGGCCCCACCCTATCCCCGGGGGTAATGTTCTTTACAATTTAGAATTTACACTTTCCCAGGATGCTTCCACGTAAGTTTCAGCTTTTCTGGCCCAGTGGTTCTTGAGAAGAAGATTTTTTAATGACCCCACCCTATTTTTGTCTTTTCTTGATTATCTCCCCTTGTAAGGGGACTTGGCCCTCTATTTTAACAATTTAAACTCCCCTTCACTCAAGGATACTTTGTACCAAGTTTGGTTAAATTTGGCCCAGTGGTTCTTGAGAAGAAGTTGAAAATGTGAAAAGTTTACAGATGGACGGACAGATGGACACACAGACGGATGACGGGTGATCAGAAAAGCTCACTTTAGCTTTCAGCTCAGGTGAGCTAAAAAAAAACTTACAGTATTGCCCTGTCCGGTCAAGACTGTCCTCATTCCCTTAGGACCCAGGAACCTCTCCATCATAGCCGTGATTCCAAATGAAAACCTGAACTGGATGTCCTCCTGGAAATCGGCACAGAGATTTCTACAGTCCAGGCGATACGCTATCTCAAACTGGTTCTTTGGCAGAACATTGTCTAAGTTTTGTCTGTTCTCATCTGGTAGCAAGGCAGAGAGGCGATCTAAACACATCAAATAAATTACCATTTTACGTCATGATACAAGTACCAGGCATGTAGAGTATTATTAACTTTATTTCAAAATTTGTATTAATGTTCATTCAAATAAGGATTCTTTTAATTCATTCCATAATCAAATATGGTATAACTTTAATCAAACAAATCTTCACGAAGTTTCTTTCAAAAAGATTTTTAAAAAATGTAAAAACAAAATATATCAAAAGCATTCAAGCAAAAATTTCAAAAACTGAAGCTACATACATAGAGAACATTAACTCCTTGATTCCTTTAAAAAGTAGTTTTTCTCCCAAATCAATAAGATTGTAAAAAAGTCAGGTTGAAGTTAGTCCAAGTTAGTGTTACAACTAATCCTCACCAAAGTAAGTAAAATGTTTGTAAGTTGAAGTCTCTATTCACACAAATGCATAATTATCTGCATTTCATAGTTTAAAGATGCATGTATGTACATATATGTATATGTATATACCTTGAAGTCATATTTACATGAATGTAAAGGTGTATTATGTATTATATAATTTATATGCAGGCATTGCAGATGTACACCATTAATCATACATATATATTGATTACTGAGATAAGAAAAATTAAATTGTTCATTTCGTCTAAGAGGAACCTTAAATACACCAATGATTGATCATTTTTGTTCTCTCCATTGTCAGGAATATACTCTGTATTTAATGGCAAATCACTAGTTTTACTTTCTCAAATCAATGTTGGCAGGTACAAATTGCACCAAGACTTTTGTAGTTTTACAATAAAATTATAAGTTTTGTGAAATTAGAACAAGTTTTCATGTTGCTTTCAGCTTTTCAATGCACCGTTATTTCAATTTCAAACTAAAATAGCAAGTTTAGGGTCTGTAAAGTGTAAACATATGCTTACTTGATAACACTAAACTTAATATGTTAATTACTAGAAAATTTTGAGAATTTAATTAAGGCCAAATGTTCATTTTTTTAATTCAAACATTTGTTTAGGAGATTCACTTGATTGTAAAACTAAACATACCATGCATAATAGAATTTCTGCATGAGAATTACCACTGTCCTCCCTTTAAATATAATTTTCAACACAATTTTTGACTGACAAGTGCTTGTTACCTGCCATCTGGCGCTGGGTTTTCTCTACCGTGGATTGCAGCAAATATGAGCATCGATTCTGTAAGTTTTTACCTATAGTGTCCTCTACAAAGGCATGTAACTCCTACCAAGGGGAGATAATGAGTAAAATGAAAAAGAAACTCACAAATTGAAAGAGAATACAGATGCAATTGGTAATCCTAAAGATAGAACTTATAGTATGAATCTTTCAGACATGTGTGAGGAAAGGTAAAATAAAAGTCTTAGAATAACTCACCTACAAATTATTATTTTTGGAATTATGACAATTAATTTCAAGCAATAGAGCAAGTTAGAAAAGCCTTGATTGCCAGTGACTTGATTGATGACTTTGAAAGATTCATACCATAAACAAAGGCAAGAGTAAAAGGCAGAGAATAAAACTCAAGCAGATCAGCAGTAGTTTAGTAGAGACTTGTTACATCCAGGTGCAAATAATCTAATGTTTTATCTGCAATCTGCTTTCAGTGCCCTGTTTATTCTGTGCCAATCACTTCCAAATGTGATATGTATACAATACAAAATGCAAACCATTCAAGAAACCAAAAGAAGTAAATACAGCACATGCTAGCTCTTGTTTATTTGTAAAGGAAAACAGGAACCTGATTTTCCTCTTCTTACATTTTTAAAATTTCTTTGTTTTCTTATAAAGTTCCGGATGTAATTAAGAAATTGAAATTTTCCCCCAAAGTAACTAGAAAACACTGCTAGAAACTTTTCAGTATCTTTTGCATAATTATATGCAAATTAATGGTATAAATCACAAATCTTTTGAAAATCAGATCCCATCATCCCTTGTACAAAATGTCAGTGTTGACCCTTACCAAGCATGTGCATTTGTACGGTTTGCACAGCTCTAACTAGATTTGCTGTGCACCTCCCAGTCAAGTTTATCTTGATGCCCTCCTCCACATGGGCATGGAGTTCCTTAGCAACAAGTAAACAAATGCACATGTAAATGTCATTCACTATTCATTTAAGTACTACACACTTTCCTGTCTCGATTAAGATGCAAATTCTAGTGCACAGTTTAATTTTACCTTTCATCTCCAATAATATTTATTTCATTAGTGGAAAATGTCAAAACAACTAACTAAGTCTTGGAAATTTCTGAATACTGTACAGGGGATTAATTTCATGGGTTGTAATTTTCACGTTTTTCTCTCCTCGGACACGATCGCGGTTTGATGAATTCGTGTAATTTGTATGAAATAAAAGTTATATCCCTTTGTCTGCTTTCGTCGATTTAAAGTGTACCAGAATGACAACTCGATGTTAAAAGTGAAATAGAGTTCATCAGCGGGATGTATTCACTACATAAACTATACTCAGTTAAAGAAAAGTTGTTAGAGTTATTAATTTATCGGATTAAGTGCCGTTATAAGCGTTGAATAACTTCTCTGCATGCTAAATTACGACGAGTGGTGTCACACTACTCTACAGATTCTCTCTAAGAAAGATGACAAATGCATTACGTTGACAAAATAATTATTATACAGAAAGTCCAAAAGTTATTCGAATAAATAAAATTTAAAAACAAAAACCCTATTATTACCAAATGTCGATAAAAAACTAATACACGTGTTCAGGTGACTGGTAGCGGTAAAGTAAGTTACATGGGTAATCAAAACCCAGGACCGCTGTGTTTTGATTGATCAAGTAAGTACAAGTAGCTTTGGCTATTAAAATAGTTGTTTAGCATAAATCCTGGTCATTATCTGCTGATCTGAATTTTTGGAAAACTTGGTGATTAAAATAATTGAAATGCTAGTACAACTCATAATTACTGAAGACTATACGTAATATATATCTACCGGTAGCTTGGAATAATCTCCAAATAAAAAAATAGATTAATAAATTATTGAAAACTTATTTACTGTTTCTTGAATTCACGGATTTATTAACACCGTGAATATAGCGAATATTTACACCGCGAGTTATTTTCCCCCTATACAGTATTTCACATTAGAAAGATGACTTGTCAACATTAAACATCAAAGTTTTTTTCTCTTTTACAATGCACATGTACATTATAAATTTTATATGAAATTTTGATTCCACAGAAGATTTCTATTATATAAAATCAACTTATCATTAATCTTACCTTTTTATAAACTCGTAGAACCATTTCGTCTGGATGGAATGGTCTGTCAAATTCCTCCACTAAAACAGAGAGGCGGTTGATCTCCATGTTCATGGCGTAAGAAACCTGCAGTAAAATTAAATATAATTTTAAAAAATTAACGTATCGTTTTACAATAAGTTGGCACTGTTTATGTGTTTTGCAGAAAGCAGTGCTTTGTTTGATCTTGAGATTTGTTAATACAGACATGAAGACTTTTTTCTGACCTTTCGCTCTACTTCTTCCACCATTGCTTTGATTTTATCCTTCATCTCGGATGTCAGTATCAGTGTTTGTTTCTCCAGAAAATCCAGCTCACTTGCTCTCTCTCCCTTAACCTCTTGTAAATTATCCCTATATAAAGATAAATGGAAAGTAAATCTTTTGGGAATTACAAGTTCATGTACATGGCAAATTTGCAACAAGTTTGCAGATCTGATATCAAATATTGCTCACACATTACGTCAATCAGATGAAAATAACACTATCATTCTGTGTCTTTCCTTTAAAATATTAAATTTTCAGCTAATATTTTTTCATTATATAACAGGGCAATATTTTATTTTTTTTAATTCAACAAGCAGCAGCAGCTAGCCTCATCCAGTTGCATATAAAATCATACAATACATAAAAACTGATGAAAAGAAGTCTTTAAATAAACATCTTACAAAGTCTTATATACATGTAGGTGTACTGATAACACTTTACCCTTGTTGTTGACTTCTCTGGTAGGTTTCCTCCATGATGCTTTTCAGACTAGATGTTATGTTTTTACCTCTCTGAGAATGTTGCTCAAACTTTGTCTTAACAGCTGACTTAGATATACAGATCTAAAAATGACAATTAGACCTTTACCATACATGTAACTATGATTTATAATATTTTCAACAAAAAATATGTCTATGTATGACTAAAGAAGAATAAAACCCCTTTAACATACATGTATGATCTTTATTAATTGAACAGTCTGGATGTTATATTAATTCATATTGTATACTTTATAAATGTATATCGATTCTCTGTACTTAAGTATCAGTCTGACCTCAAAGGCAGTCTCAAAATTTGCAAAAGCAAATGCTCTTTCTTGGTAATTTCTTTGAAGTACTCCATCTGCCATTAGAATTATAACATAATATGTTGGGGTATATCAAAACAGGACAGACGATAATCAAACCATATATAAAATTGGAATAGGCAGAATTAAGAACTTTATAAATCTTTGTTTGTCATACTCACGTGGTGTGGGAGTCTTGTTGTCTTCATGTAGGCGAGAAATAAGTGTCTCTTTTGCCGAGACAAAGAAGATCCTATTCTTGGCCTCCTGTCTATCAACAACCTTCAGCTGATCTGCCAGAAACTCCACATTTCTCTGATAATGTTGCTCTTTGACCTATTCAATACAATTTGAAAATTTACTATGTACAGTATTATGACTGAAAGATACACTGTATGGTTAGAATTTTGCATATAGGGGATGTAAACCATACAAAAATCAGACTTTTTAAATTTCATTTAGGAAAAACTAAGAGTGTAACTTGGCAACCCTTCCTTACTCAGAGTTTTGCACGAACACTAATATATCTAAAATATAAATATGTGGCATTTTAGAAAATATACACATATTTACAGTATCTTAAGAAAAATCCAAATCTAAGTCTTACTTGTTCAATCTCCTCTGGATCATCTTCTCCAACAGAAATGTCCCATCTGTTTTGTAGAATAAATATGTTGGGTTTGGACAATCTTGAACTTACTTTATGGAAAAAATTCTTTTCCTGTTGGCAGAAAAAAAAAGAAGAAGACAGAAAATCAAAATTTTTCTGTAATCACTGAATCATGGAAATATGGGAATAGATATATACATGTATGTAGCACACTGTGCAAAAACTTTAACCAAACTGGACTCATATTTGATTTTGCTGCTACAAAGTCAATAGGACAAGGAAAAAAAACACAACTATAAATCCTCTAGAAATTTTCTACCCCCCAACTTCATCTATTTGATGACTTTGACGCTATTTGGTGGCACTACAAGGACACGTAGGTCAGGCAGAAACAACTATTTTTGATATCAATGATCATTTACTCACTGTTTGCATAAGTGTTGATTCAGCATTGGCCACCAAGACAAACACATCAGCATCCAGACAATGATTATCAATCCAGTCATCTAAGTCAGGTGTCACATCAATGCCTGGGCTGTAATGATCAAAGACATTATTTTAAAATTAACTGTTGTTTGCATTCTTTTGTAAAAACCTCACACATATTGAGCCATATATACTGTTTACCTGTCTAAAAAGACTACATCTTCTCTTAGAAATTTACACTTGTCTTTTGGCCACAAGATTCTAATTAAAGAGTTTTCTTTCAGTTTCACTTTACTCAAAGCTGAGGCCAACTGTTTTATATCCTGTAAAAGATATATTTCTTAAATTAAACTTACAAACTTGTGAGACAACTCATAACCCTAATTATTATCATGAGACTCTTCAAAATGAAAAATATTTTATAACTAGATGTGTCGTAACTCCACAAATGCCCCCAAAATGCCCCCAAAAGCAGCCAAAATTTCAAATGCCATATTTAGTTTTAAATACCTGCACATGTAATTTCAACCTTATACATACATCCCTTCAAAAGATAGAGAGTGGAAACTGAAAATTTCTTCATTTTTTTTTTCCATAGATGTCAATTTTCCTGACAAAATTTTATAAGTTCAAGAGGGATAACTCTGTCAAAAATCATCGGACCATGACCAAATTCAAACTTGACCTGTATTTTCTGGTAAAATACCTGCACATGCAATTTAAACCTTATACATACATCCCTACAAAAGTTAGAGAGTGGAAACTGAAAAATTCTTATTTTTTTCTAAGTTCAAGAGGGATAAGTCTGTCAAAAATCATCAGACCATGACCAAATTTGAACTTGACCTGCATATTTCTATGACATATCCATATGTCAAATTTGAGTTGAATGTGTGCAACTGCTGCCGAGATAATGAACAGAAAGTCAATGATGACAGAATGACAGAATGATGGAATGACAGAACAGGGTAGCACTATATGCCCCTGGCCATTTTATGGCAGAGGCACAAAAAAAACCCCATCAAAATCAATTTCAAATCTTTACATCATATTTCATAAAGGAATCTTTTTACCAAATATAATTTCTTAACATTTTAAAAGTCTGAAATATTTACATGAATACTCTTTTGTTTGTCTGAGTCCTCTGTTAACAGGAATCCCTCTGAGGACTCACAGCCCTCCACCTGGATAAAACAATGAGTGGTGTGCCCGATCCCACTCGGCATTATCTTGTTTCTCAACATAGCATTGATTGTTGTACTCTTCCCATTGGATGTCCTAAACATTAGAAACTTGACAGTTTTAAAATACTTTCACATACATGTATATAAAGTTATTTATTGTATACACATATATTTGAAATTCTATCTTGTGGCTAAAATTGTGCTCAATCAGTTAAAGAGTGAAATAAACAAAATACCAATGTGATAATTCATTTAACTAAATAGTAATTCTAATTTGATCATGAAAGGTTACATCCTTCATTATTACCTACATGTACATATCACATGGTATGGATGAAGGTATGTTTAGTCATCAGTAAACAAAATGAAACATAGGTAATCAAAGATTATCATGATTATATAGCTCACCTCAACAAATGTTGTCTTTAATTTAAGTAAGGCAAACTCCCACACTTAACAAATATTCTGGTAGTGTGCATTCCTAGATGCAACATTTATGCAAGTTCTGGTCAGAGTAGGATTTTTAGTTATTTAGGAATGAACTTGTTCCAAAAACTTTAACTGTTGAATTGTCTGTAAAATGTAGGTCAGATCCAGCATCTGAAGCAAGTCTGGTAGTACATGCAAGTTTAGTCACTATAAGACTTTTATTTACCTGCTCTAAAAGCTTTAACATGGTCAATCATCTGGAAAATGCAGGTCAGATCCAGCATCTGAAGCAAGTCTGTTAGTACACTGATACATCCTCCATGCAAATTAAGTCACCATAGGGTTTATAATTATAAAAAAAAAAGTACTTAGAAATGAGACCTGCTCCAAAAACTTTAATCTGCTCACTCATCTAGAAAATGTAGGTCAGATCCAGCATCCAAAGCAAGTTAGACTGTTACCTTCCTGTACATTAAATCACTAATTTTCATAGGGGTGTCATTTTTGTTGATTTTGTGGTATGAAGAGACCCTCAAATTCCAAAATTTCAAATACATAACATCTATTCATTTCTTCAACCATGAAATCATTTCCCCACAAACCAATACTTTTTCCTCAAACCATGAAAATTAGACCCCATGAAAATAAGTGAATTTATAGTATTTTACCTGTATTAGTATCTTACCTTCCAAAAAATACCACTTTCATGTGGTTCCTGGTAAGTACTTCGATAATTCCTTGAATCATTTTACCAAACTCATCCACCGACTTTGCACTTTCACACTGGCATTTATCAGGCAAATCTACCAGACAAATAAAACAATTTAATGCATTTTCAACTGTGAAATACTGCAATTTATCCATTGAATAAAAGTGATATATTTGAAAGTGATATTTTTCACAGTGAAAAATATCAAAGTGATATTTTTCACAGTAAAAAAAATATCAAAAGTGCATGTGGCAAAACTCTCTATTATCATTCCCTTCACAAAGAGTGTTCCAAAGAAAATACTCTGTTATAAGATAACAGGAGAAGTAAACTATCCTGACATGGACTAAAACTGTCAAAAATTTCTCAAGAATTTTGCTTAAAATATTCATTTTTACAATTTTCAATCTCACAATTGCTTAGCTATAATGATGTCACACAACCACTCAACTATGACCTCACAGCCTACTGTGTTAACGAAAAGACAGAGGCAAAATGAAAATTAAAAAAAAAAATGTAATAAACAGAAAATTCAATGTTTTATAGTTGGATATGGAATTTAATTCACTAGTGAGACAGGATTTTTTCAAGATTGTGAAATATTAGTGAAAATATCAAAAAATCCTGTCCCAGTCGTGAAATAAATCCATATCCAATTAAAACTCATTGAATATCCTCTATTTATGCTTTACAATTTTTTTTTTCTTTTGCATCTGCATTTAAATCATTGCATATATTTGAACTTTTGTTTTAATTAAATTTTGAATATCACTACATCAAAAATATATCAAAAAAAGTCCACATTTCAAAATGAAATTTAAGGGAGCCAACTGGAGTTTTATTGTGTGAAAACTACTATAGAGAAACTCTTTAATTTTATACCATACGTACCTTACATTGACTTCAGTATACATGCCAAGTTTAGTGAAAATCTACCGTCTGGTTATTTTATAGGGACCATCTCAAAATACAGGTACATTTACTATAGAATTATATAGGAAAATACCTTTTTTTCGCACTTCAGAGCAAATTATACAAATGCTACTATAGACTTTTTGCTCAAATTATATCATTTGATGGGTAATGCTTTATTGTACATTTTATGCAAGAAACACAAAATTCTACCGCCTGGTTTCAAGAGGGGGCATCTAAAAATGTCAAAATTCATAATATTTTCCTGTTTTTATGGAGTACAACAAAACATGACAGATAGCGCAGATTTACATAAAAAATTATAAAAGTAATTGTGAGATTCTCAATTTCCTATGTTTAAAATTTCAAGAGCATCTACTGTATACTTTTTATTTTATGACATAATTAATGGCCCCGCTTTAAACAGCTTCGGTTATTCATAACGTCAAAAACACACTATTACGACGTCTATCTACCCATCATTTGAAAAATCGTTTAAAAAATCATTATTTAAAAACGTAATTAGATTTTTTAACCTGATATTTCCTAAATTTGTTAATTTTCATAAATTATGTAAAAATAGTTGCTTTAAAAGAGTAAATACACTTCATTTTACTATGCTGCATGAAGCATTGCGCAGTGAAAACCCCAGTTGGCCTCCTTAAAAGAAATAATTCAAGAACTGTATTTATCAAGCGGTAGGTCGCAACATTCTTAACTAACTCCAAAAGATGCAGTGACATACCTTTCAGAAACACTTGTGATTCCCTGACATAGTCCGCAATGTCCTGGAACACATCATTGATGCTTTTCTTAGCCTCAGCAAAAAATTTGAGTGGTGACTGGGACCTTGCATGTTTCCCATTTCCCAGACTCCTGTGGTCTTTCCTATCTCCCTGTCCCCTCTGTGATTCATCCATTGAATATGCCTTATCTACTCTTCCTGACATGGTACTTCAATGCATTTCTGAAAAATTTCAGCAAATTTTTTTTTTCAAAATGAGATTGTTAAAGTGAACATAAATATTGTAAATCAGTAAACTTCACAGGATGTCATCAATTCATGAAAAAAGAGTATCTTGATGAATTTAGTCATAAACACTCATCTATTTAATGATGACACTGAGCATGGTCTCTACAATTTTAAGTACAGTAACTGACTCTGTTAACAGGTTGGGACATTAGACTTTAACAGTTTGGGACCAATTGCCCAAATGAGATATAAATTTACTGATCAATAATGATGGAAAAATTATATTTTAAATATATTTTTAATCTCCATAAATATATATTAAATTCAGCTAACTCTGACAAGCAGGTTTTTCTATAACCCTACAGCTTGCAAGATTGTTCCCCAAGAAGTTTTGGATCTTCTATGGGTTCAACATCCTAAAAAGGATGGATACAAAAAATCTTATTTCCCAATAAGCTTATTTTTTTATATCCATTTTTATGCAGATTTGATATACATATCATCATAAAAATATCTTAAATGGTTTCTTTAAAACTAAGCAAATTGCACATTAAAGAAAAGTAAGGTCAAGGTCACAGGAAAGTGCAAGTCAAAAGTTTTTGATACAGTTGCATAGCTCTCAGTAAAACGTATCAGCATATAAAGTTTGATAAAAATATCTTGAACAGTTTCCTTAAAACTTTAAAACTGAGCTAAACACTAATTTAAGAAAAGTGGGGTCAAGGTCAAAGGAAAGGTCAAGGTCAAAAAAATATTGATGCAGTTGATAGCTCTCATCACTATGTATATGAAGTTCGATAAAAATATCTTGAATGGTTTCTTTAACACTGAGCTAAACATTAACTTAAGAAAAGTGAGGTCAAGGTCAAAGGTAAGGTCAAGGTAAAAAAATGTTGAATTGTATCAGCATATGAAGTTTGATAACACTTTCTTGAATGGTTTCTTTAAAACTGAGCTAAACACAAATTGAAGAAAAGTGAGGTCAAAGTCAAAGGAAAGGTCAAGGTCAAAGAATCATAATGCAGTTGAATAGCTCACATCAGTATGTATCAGCATATGAAGTTTGATTACACTATCTTGAATAGTTTCTTTAAAACTGAGCTTAACACTAAATGAAGAGAAGTGATGTCAAATCAAATGAAAGATCAAGGTAAAAAAAAAATGCTGATACAGTTGAATAGCTCTCATCAATATCTCTCAGCATAGGAAGTTTGATAAAAATATCTTAGTTTCTTAGAGCTTTGAACTGAGCTAAATGCAAAGCGGGATGGAAAGACAGAAGGAAGGATGGAAGACAGGCATGATAAATTCTATATGCCCAGCCATTTTCATGGCGGGGCATAATTATTTGCACAAACTTTTTGTTTCAGCCATGCCTATCTAAGTACATATTGAATTGTCACACTGATTTGTCTACAGATATTTCTGTTTGCCTGATTATGAAAAGGAGCACACGACGGGTGTGACTGGTTGACAGGGGATGCTTACTCCTCTATGACACCTGATCCCACCTCTGATGTTTTAGAGGTCCATGTTTGCACTGCTCCTGATTTGTATTGTTTCAATGGACTTTTAATATCACTGTTCATTCAATTCTCCATATTTCTTTTGCCATATTAATAGCTGAATATTCTCCATTTTTGCTTTAAAGTTTATTATATTTATTCTGGATATTTAAACTTGAATGGGCTATTTCATCTCACTTGAGGCAAAATTTAACATTCAACTAAAACTTTTGGTCTTAGTCGTAAGTTCTTTTGTAAAAAGGGCACCTGGTTCCAACCCGTTTGATATTAGCTTATGTCAGTTATGATGTGAGGAAATTCGAAATAATTTCAGCAGTCATTTTCACCATTTTTCTGATTCGATATGGATATATCAATGAAGATAAGTATTCTCATTGGTGAATATTTAAAACAACATTTTCATATTACATACATTTCAAGCCACCTTCTGAAAAAAGCACACAAAGTTGACAAACATCCTTGCATAACTAATAATAACAACTGAAGGGCACAGACTGAAACTGAAAGCAAATCTAGTTTCCGTTTCTTACCTGTATATTGTAAATGTCTCTGAGTAAAGAATTTATTTGCGTTTGACATTAATCAATGGCTTCTTACATTCTTTTGATAAAAACATCATACATCACGCAACCCCATGCCTTTTTCGATTTTTTTCTGATAATGAAACCGAAAGTTCGAAAATTAACTCATACGCAGTTGCTTTATGAGTGATGGCTATTTACTTGAGAGGGCCAAACATTGATTAACTTGTTTACCATAAAATTCACTGTTTTTTTTTAAAATGGTTTTTATCGATTCAGGAAATATAAATGATTGTTATTCATGGGAAAAATCAAACCAATTACTTATACATTCATTCCTCATATTAGTGTGAACCTATTATCAGTCGAAGTCTTTATAACGTTTATGTTGACTAGATTTCATTACTTGCAATTGAAGGGATTTTTCAGCGAAGAATCGACAAAATTCGACGTTCGAAGTTTGGAGGCTCACGTTTGGTATGAGTAAGGAAAAGGCTGTGGCAATCATTGAATTCTGTTAATTTTCTGTCCTACTAGATGTCCTGTTAAATAACAGATAATAGAGGTAACGAGGACATTTAAGTATATGGAAATAAAACTGTATCCAACTTTGAAAATCGTTCTACACAAGTTAACAGGTTAAATTTTAGCCAAGGGCCATAGTGATACTATCTTTGGGTAGACTTTACTGATCCCCAGATCCACATTTAGTTAGAATAATCTAACTGTGTCTCGGGACAGGCCCTCACCACAGTTAGAATGCCTCCCATATCCCCGTAATGTAGCAGAAAATTGCAGAATCGCTCTGAAACGATTTTGGAGAAAATTAATGAAGTTGCATTGAAAATAACAGTCAAATTAGTCATAACAAACCTTTTTGAGACTGTAAATATCTTTCATCTAAAAATTTAATCCATATAATGGAAGAATTCAACTCTCTTTCACCAACGTTTTTTACTCGTTTCAAATTTACACACCACGTTGACATTCGGAACTCTCGGGATTTTTCGTAGTAAATGCACTGAGTTAGAGTTATCTCCAGTATTTTCTTTGCTACATAGACAATACACGGAACGCATTCTATCGTTTAACCGGGTCCGTAGGACATTTATCATTTTAACGATAGAACATTCTATCTAGCGCTCATTGCACTATGACGTAAAATTAACGTCACTCAACTGATAAGGGTTAGTCTTGCAGTTAGGGTTAGTCTTTCGCCCACCTGAAAGATTAGGGTTAGTCCAGAGACATAAAAAACAGTGTTATTTATGTCTCTGGATTAGTCCTTCCACAAGTTTTCGACTGATTAGGGTTAGTCTAGCATCTATCCAAGAGATTAGGGTTAGTCCTCACACATGGGTAGGTCTGGCAATCGCTCGGGAGATTTTGGCTAGTCCTTGCATACCATCCGAGAGATTTTAGGGTTAGTTTCTTGTTCTTTTAGATTAATTAAGAAATCAAGTTGCTTCTGTATTTTTAGCAAGATTTTCGCTCAGCTTAAGGGGATGAAGGACACATGGTCACATGACTCTGTTTAACTACGTCATAGTCTCTGATAATATAAGTCAGTGCAAAACGTGTAAATCATTGGTTCTTGTATGAATATTTTTTACTTTAATTACTATCTTATATAAAAAAAAAAGTTTTAACATTCTTGTAAACATTAACAAATTATGAAAAAGATTGATCCACTCCTCTGTTTCCCTAAACTGCGTGTCCAACAAGTCCGTGATGTCATACACGATCTCAGAGTACAGCAAGATCATACTCGGTGATTACAGGGGCGGTATTATTATGTAAAAACAGGTCATAATCAGTATAGTACGATGAAATATTTTGAGAAACAGGGAACACAAAAATTATTTTTGCATGGCTAATGACGGAAATCTTATGTAGGTATATCTTACTTTGCTTACTTAGCTTACGTGTGATGTCATAGTTGGTTTTTCCTATACTCGAGAAATGTAAACATGACACATTTTTTGTAATGCTTATGTCCTCTTTAACGATGTCCTGTGCAATATTGAGGTCAGCTTCACCATTCGTAATTTTTACAGTTAATCAATAATTTGAAGGACTTGCATTTCAACGTAAATTTAAAAATATTTAATGATAGAATTTTTTGTAAATTACGTTTTTTGTTGTTTAAGTTGTCTTAAAAAGTACGTAATTTTTCCTATCCAGATGCAGTGTGATAGAAGAAACTCGCTTTTTCGAATTTTAAACCCTATTCATACTCTGAAATATTTTAAAAGATAAATGTCTACTTACATATTTTTTATATATGCTTAAAAAATCCCATTATGGACAAAGTAATGAGTCCAGAAACATGGAGAATTAAAACTCCACTTAGATAATGAAGGGCATAGTATTTGTCAATCAATATCTCTAAAATAAGGTAAGAAACCTAATGATATCACTGCTTTAAGATATGTGGGACGTACTTAATTAGAAATACACAAAATATGAAAAAAATTGAATGACAAGTATTTTTTCAGCCCAAGGTCCTTCTTCCCCTTAATTCAGCTTCAACGACATCTCGTTGGTTTATTTACATGAAAAAGTACGAAAGAAACCGCACTAAGCATGCACCGCACGCGCTTCATTGATATTTATTTTTTGTCATCTTTTCACTGAATAAACAATATTTATTGCTTTTCTCCAGAGAACGAGGTTAAAAACTTTGTTTAAAAACCAAGTTTTGCCGTAGAATTCAATTTTGGACTCGAAAAGGCTTAAAACCTCAAACTTTTTATTTTTTTTTTTAGATCGCTCCCGTGATCTCATATATATTGAAGTCGCCTATGGCGACACTATATTTTAGCTTGTGTTTCTGGGGACCAGTAAAGTAAAGTCGTTCCTTATCTTATTTTAACCCGTATTAAAACAAAAAAAAGAATGATGTTGTAAATAAAGACAAGTTTAATGAGGATGCAGTTGCCAGATTTGTGGCAGGAATATTCCATAATACAGTAAAACATGCTTAGAGCAAACATGCATAATATGTTTTATGGTGTGATCTTACACTTGAAACGTTGATCCACCTCTTCAAACATCAAACCACACGAGACTAGGGCTGTATCAATATATCGATATATAGATATGTATCGATTTTCAAGAATGTAACGTATCGAAAAAGTAACTTCCAATACGTATCGGGCAGGCAGTTTTTCTTATAATTCTGTGAAAAAGTTGGGAATTTCAATCACCAAAAATTATATTTGACTGTTTTTAATTAAAACTGATAAATAATGATATAAACATGAAGGTTATAGCACATAGTAAATAAGTATTACAAAATATATGGACAACTATAGTTTATCATGTTGGTTTTACAGTCGTTAAAAAGTTTGAAGTTGAAGTGTATTTTGTAATGACAGTGAGACAAGAACTTAGAAATGGGTTTTAAACACTCATTTTTAAAAAAAATCTATGGATTCAATGATTTATAAGACTTTTTTGTTAGACTTGTTAAAGAATCCAATATATCACATATCACTTTGTAAAATACTGTATCGTATTGTATCGAAAATTTTTGCTCAGTACACAGCCCTACATGAGACACAGTCTAGACTGTGACGTCACATGACGTCGGAATTTACGGAGACAGCCAAGCATTAAACCGCACGTGACATTTAGTACTAGACTCTGACGTCACATATCCTAGCTTGTAAGTTGCATTTCCAAAACGAAGTCTGAACAGTGCTAATTTTAAAAAAGAAGGTTTAATCTACTATTTATCTGCTATATATCCATCAAACCAAGGTGAGTTCATATTTTTCTTGGAACTTCTTGTTACCGCACGAAGGTTGTTTGGCGAGATGCAATTCGCAAAGTATTATGGGACCATAGGTTACTACAGAAAAAATTCATTTGGATCAATGTGCACAGTCCGAATTTTCTCTTCTCCCAGATGTTGCTTTAAGAGCTTGCATTGACGAGCGGCGCTGCTCGCTGCGCCCGCCATAATGAAGCAGGATCATCTGTACCTGGCACTTCGATATAAGCATGTTTTACTGTATTCTTTTTTAACCTATCTGAGCTATAAGATAAGAGGTATTCCAGTTACCTCTTGTCTGGCATCTGTCTAGGATTAAGCATCCCCTATCGCCACTTACACTGCTTTGAACCCTCTGTATTGATCAGATAGAACATTCCAATGTCAAATTTAGTAAAAAAAAAAAAGAAAAAAAAAGAAAAAAAAAGAACAAAGGCTTAACAATTGGTATGAATGTAAGCCAAAATCCAACCCAGTGATAGATTTTATTCGCTAACATAAATAAGGAAAGTTAACGATGGAAAAGCTGAAATCATCTTGTTTGTCATATAATTTATAGGTGTCAGCTGGCCCATATTGTCTATAGTCTGTAAAACATCCAAATTTGAAACAGATGTGGCAGACTCTGTGGTGTCTTTTATTTCAAGTTCACTGGAATATATCCAGTATTAATGGAAGTAACTATTGTCTGAAAAGTTGACACATTTTCAACTTCTTCACTAGAACTTTTAAAATTGCTATTAAGGATAATAGGGTGTTGGAGGAGATTCAGACTTGTAAAGTAAATTCCTGTAACCTCTCTGTCAGTGTTGTCCCTAAGAATTGGCCTTGGGGTAGGGTGGTACCACAAGAAAGAGAAAAAAAATCTTGAACAACATGTCCATGATTTGTCATATACATCCTCAGGTAGTAAATTAAAGTATAAAACTATAATTTTGATTTTGTTAGCTGGGAAATCAGCAAGTGTAATCTATTCAGAACATTTTTTTGTAGAAAATCAGAATGTCTTCCCCTGAAGTGGAGAAGTTTGAGATAACAGAAGATGACCTTGCCAATGAATTTTATCCTAGAGGTGGCAGGAGGCAAACAAAAAATCAGGCCATCTATGGTAAGAAGTAGTACTAGTACATATTCCAAATAGATAGCAATGTTACCCCCCCCCCCCCCCCCCCCAAAAAAAAAATCTTGGGGGCATTCTTATACTTATCACAGATTTGCATATGCCTTGAGAGTATGTATTTACCTTGACCCAAGAGAATTCCAGCAAGTTCGAGGTCACAGACAGAAAGATGTATTATTTATTCCTGCTCTATAACTCTC